TTCCTTCAGTGGATGTGGTAAAAAGAAAGCTTGGCAAGTCTGGTTTCATCTCGAGGAGGCAACTGATGCATTTGAATGTCTGTCCAAGCATCCTGATAAAGTTACAGATTCTTTGATCAGCACACTTGAACGTTTCACAATATTGATGTATGAAAGAACAAGTGACCATGTGAATCTGAACGAAGCAAGAAAGTACATGTTCTCTTCCAAGGGTAGAGCAATAGAAAATATACCTCCAACATCTGCAGCTTTCAAAGAACATGTTAAGAGAGCAGTTTATCAGGGAGGACATATATGGGGACAGTCAACCATCCGTTGTCCTGATCTGCCTGATCCATCCAAATGGGGTTGGCAATGCAATGCATCCAACATGTGGGAGCCCTTATGGTCAACAATACCAGACGTGTCAAAGACCTGTCAAGAACTGTTGAAGTGTCGCTGCACCAAAGGATGTTGTGGCAGATGCAAGTGTCTCAAAGCTGCCCTCAAGTGCACTGCACTGTGTCTTTGTGGTGGAGACTGTGCCCAATAATGTGGTCATATGTTGCTCTGAGTAGGTAAGTGAAGAAATCCCCAGATGAATATTATTCATGGGAATCTGGATTAGGTTTACGCTGACTCCCAGTCTCATGGAAAATGGTGGCCAATTAAGGTTTTCAATGTTTCGACATGTATCGAATGGTACAAGCAACATACATTTATCTGCCAAATTCCATGTATATTATATGAAAATTGTGGAATTGACATTGAATCTAAGTCTCTGATGGTGTAATTTGAGTGGAAAATGGTGGCCATCTTGAATATTCAATGTCTCCCTCTTATCCCTCTCCCTCTATATTATCTTCATAGTACAAGCAACATAACTGGCAAATTTCATGCATATTGTGTGAAAATTGTGGAATATACATTAAATATAAGTCTCTAACGGTGTAATTTTGAGTGAAAAATGGCGGCCTTCTTGAAATATGGCGGCCATCTTAAATTTTCAATGCCTCCCTCTCTGTATATTATCTTCATGGTACAAGCAACATAACTGCCAAATTTCATGCATATTGTATGAAAATTGTGTAATATACATTGAATCTAAGTCTCTAACAGTTGCAATTTTGAGTGGAAAATGGTGGCCATCTTGAAAAATGGTGGCCATCTTGAATTTTCAATGTCTCCCTATCTGTATCTAATTTTTATAGTACAAAGCATCATATCTGCCCTAATTCATGCATCTTGTATGAAAAGTCTGGAATTTACATGGAATCTAAGTCACTGACGGTGTAATTTTGAGTGAAAAATGGTGGCCATCTTGAAAAATGGCGGCCATCTTGAATTTTCAATGTCTCCCTATCAGTATATTATATTTATAGTAAAAGCATCATATCTGCCCTAATTCATCCATCTTGTATGAAAAGTCTGGAATTTACATGGAATCTAAGTCACTGACGGTGTAATTTTGAGTGAAAAATGGTGGCCATCTTGAAAAATGGCGGCCATCTTGAATTTTCAATGCCTCCCTATCTGTATCTTATTTTTATAGTATAAGCAACATATCTGCCAATTTTCATGCTTGTAACATTAAAATGCATAATTATACCATTATCCGCTGGACTATTTATCATCTTTCTGATCTCACTGAATGTCATTCCAGCAGGTTTCAAAGATGGCCACGTCAACTCGGTGTAGATCTTCACTAAATCGCATCACCTCATAAAGCCACCCAAGATGGCTATCGCTGACACGTTATGTATTGAATCTTCAGTAACCCATGCTCGTTGTAAGAGCTGACTAACGGGATCGGGTGGTCAGGCTCGCTGACTTGGTTGACACATGTCATCGTATCCCAATTGCTGAGAACGATGCTCATGCTGTTGATCACTGGATTGTCTGGTCCAGACTCCATTACTTACAGACCGCCGCCACAAAGCTGGAATATTGCTGAGTGCGGCATAAAACCAAAATCACTCACTCATTGTGTATTTGAGGCATCTGACAATCCACATAGCCAGCAGCAACAAAGTAGGCACTTCACAGGGTAGCCTTAAAATGGTAGTGGAACAACAGGACTCCTGGCATTAAGTCCATGACTAGCCATGTTACATGGAATGGATGAGCTTGTCAACAATGACTGTACTTTGATGATGTACCACAGGGCCTGATGAACATGTCCACCACAATGTCAGTGAGGGATGGCACATCTCAGGGCTTTCCTAGCATCAGGAAGTTTCATCACCTACAAACAAAGTGTAATGAAATGGCTGAGCTCACGATGCAGGGATGTACCTATTTTTTATCCTTTTCATCTTGGGGATTTTCAGTAATACTACTAATAGTGCCTGGGTAATAATGCACAAAATAGGGTTTCAAAAGCGACCACTGAACTAACATCAAACATAATCCTTGTCCAAACAAGTTAAAAACAACAGATTTTTTTACACGTAAAAGTATATAAACTACTATTGAAGCCTTTGGCTGATATGGAAATTATCATGTAATATATTGAGTAAAGGTTTACATGCACTTAATCAGCTTTAGAATGCTCACCCGCCGTGATGTTGCTGGAATATTGCTAAAAGCGGCGTAAAATCAAACTCAGTCAGTTAGAATGCTCACATCCCCAATCATATCCATATGTTCTGTTGAGTGCAATACAAGAAAACCGGACCACAAAAGCCAACTGTGACATGTTCTAAAGACTTAATGACACAGAATCAAATACTGACACCTAGACTGCCAGCTAATCATTACCTTTAGCCACCTCAGTTGGATGGTGTTACTTTGACACAATCACCGGAAACAGTGCACTGGAGGATTTCATTAGTTTCTGTAGAGTTAGAACACAATTATGAAATATATAGATTTCAAAATCATAAAAAGTCAGCAGTAGATCAACTGTTTGATAAGTGAGGAAATACAAAGTTTTCTTCAAAGGTTTATTGAAAGGAAATTAACATGAAAACCAGAATAGATTATTGAATAGCTTTGAAATTATCCGGACACATGAAAATAATTGAATATCCAGAATAGATTAAAATAAAACATTCCAAAAACAGCATCACAATATAACTTGAATATCAGATCTGATAGCTTTGACTAGATATTCAACAAACAACAGAAGAACTTTGTCAGTAGAGAGCATGCTTAAACATCAATAGACAAGATTATTTACCTTTTAAGTTAGTTGTTTTTGCTGGGCATTGTATTATTTGCAGGGATCCGTCAGTGTTTGTCTCGCATTACAAAGCCAAATTTCTTACCCGAACAAGTTCCATGCATAAAAACGGGATGAATTCTGGCGCGGATCGTCAGTAAAATATAATACTACTATTATTTAACTTTTATTTACAGTTTTTATGTAAAATATATATAATCAACCCTAAGTCATAACGACCCTGCAAAATGGGGTTTATTTAAATTCACATTTTTACCGATGTTACTGTAAACTAGCAGTCAATGCATAATCAGTTCGTGATTGTTGAAAAAATCAAGCCAGTTTTTGCTACAATAAATATGATATTTAGGAAGCTATATTAGACACAAAATATATATGACACCACGTGCGGTCAAAACACGAGACTTCCCTTCACACGGTTAGCGGTAGATCAAAGCTTCGATAGTTTTTGTGTTGATTGGTTCTTTTGTAAAATGTACCGTCCGGAAGCGGAAACCGAATATCCGTAGTCACTTTTATTTTAAAAATTGACTTTCAGTATTCACGGAAATAAAGCATCTGTCTCAGGAAACATTTCTTGACACCATGCAATATAATTTCTCTTACAGTTTAGTATATTGCATTATTTAAAAATCTTTTGTGTGGACTTCATCACCCTGAGAAGTTTAATGGTTCTTCTTGTATATTTTACTTCAGTTTTTCACCTTATTCTTTCAATTCAGTAGATATTGTTATATATTTCACGTGACACATGTCATGTAATGTTTTACTTGTATTACATAAACCTTGAAAAGACAGAATCATGCATGAAATTAGTTGTTGCAACTATGCACTCTTCTTATGGTAGAGGGGGTGGTAGGGTAGCCTAGTGGTTAAAGTGTTTGTTCATCATGTCAAAGACCCAGGTTTGATTCCCGACATGGGTACAATGTCTGAAGCTCATTTCTCGTGCCCCCCGCCATGATATTGCTGGAATATTGATAAAAGCGGCATAAAATCCAACTCACTGTTGTGATAGAAATGGCCTCGACATTCATCCCCTATACTGGCTTAGCCTGTTCAATCACACTCCTGTTCCTGGCTCACACAAAACAAAAGGCAAGAAGCTGCCACTCACGGACTGTCAAAGATGTTAAGATTATTCAAGAAAGCCATGGAGCTGCCCACTTTCTCCTCACAGACTCACCACTTGTGCTTGGCCTGAACACGGTCTCCCTTCGCCCATCTTGAACTGTGAACACGGTGTCCCCTCACCAGTCTCTGGCTCTGGAAGGGACATGGGCCTAGATTTTTTAAGCTCTCTTAGCGCTAAGATAGTTGTAAGTGCCATACATTAACATTAACTTACGACTATCTTAGCGCTAAGAGAGCTTCGAAAATCTAGGTCATGGTTACTACATTCTGCAGGAAGGCTCATTTAAATAATTATTTCAAAAATTTACATCAATAAAATACCTGATAGCAAAAACAAAAAAATATAAACAAATTGATAAAACTGATAAACAGGAATATTATTCTATTCGCCTCCACAACTGGAAAAGTTAACAACATTTGATTTGCAAGCAAAGGAAAAACAAAGAGACTTACTGAAACACCAATGCTGTCTTCAACCCTGATTCTCTTAGTAGATCCCTCTCTGTCTGCTGAATGCAATCGCTTGTGGATAAGTGACAGTTTGTTCATGAAGTCTGTGGCCACAGCAGTCACATGTTCACAGGTGTAGCTGGTGTTGTGTTTCGTGTTCAGTGTGCTGGTCATCGCCTTCAGAACACCAGTCTTAGCATGGCTCACTCGGGCTTCTTTGCTGGAGTCCAGAAACAGAGTCTTGTGTATTTTCACTTGTTCTTCTATGTAAGCCATATCCCTGACAGTCATTTCCATGCCTTTACCTTGATCCCTTTGTGAAGTGGATGATGAGTTTGAGTAATCAATTTTAGGATTGGAAAGAGTGTCGTGGTATTTATGTATAGCTGGTAGTGTTCCGTCGCCGCTGCTTTCAAACATAGGCTGGCTACCGCTCACCCTGTCTCACAGAAGAAACGTTATCATGTCTACCTTGGTCCCATCAGTTTGTTGAGTCACTATGTCTTATTAGTATGTTTGCATATTTGATTTGATTCATCATGGAAACTTGGGATAGAGGGGGAATTGCTTTAACATATACTTTCTTATTCAATTTTTACCTCCTCAGCCTGTTGTGAGTCAAATGACAGTGTAGTAAGACTTAAATGGATTGGGGGAGATTATACGGGCATTATCTGATAAAGACTTTGGAGGCATTTGAAAGCGGCCAGGCCTATCCCTGGAGTGACAGTGTAGAGGTGGGGACAACCCTATTTTGGGCCTAAGTGTAATACTGGAGGTCAAAAGGTAATACTGTGTCAAAAAGTGTTTGGAACTAAAAAGTGCATTCAGTAACTGCTCATGTCATTCTGGCAAGCCAGATGGCGCCTCGCACCCTCTCTCGTGGCCATGTCTCACGACTGGGCCCTGTCTAAGCAAAACAGCATGAAGATGAAAATGTTCTACCAAGGAAAGATACTCCAAATTGACTCCATGAATTTCCATAATGGCTGCTGAATATCCTATATCCAAACAAACAGAACTCTGAATTTCCAAACATACAGTCATTCCCTTTGTCAATATGTTTCAGTGTTGAAAGTTGCGGATCCTTTAGCTCAAAGTTTATGTTTGAATTGTGCTTTGCATAGTTTAGCGAAGTTTCAAAGTTTAGCGGACCCGCCATTTTCATGTTTCGAAATGCGTTTTACTAGGCGAGACAGAGATTTGATTGGTTTGCCACGATTCTTGGCAATAATGGCGTACGATAGGGGTACGAGTCTTCTTGTAGGTCACGGAAAGAGGCGAGTAGTTACGAATGCTAAAAGTGTAATACTTTAAAAACGTACTTAGTGAAAGGTGATAACTTTATAAAAATTACTTGTAAGAAGGTTTATTCACATCAATAGAAAATATTGTAGACAGAAATACACGTGACCAATCATTATGAAGCTCCATACATCGAAAACTGTTGGTCATGTGACACAAAATACTTTAATTCCTTACAAGTTAATTGGAATGAGCGCGATGCTAAGAGTAAGACCATATCTGAAACCCTATACCGGTGCGTTACTAAACACTTCCCTGTGAAATTTTTTCCACTTTATTGATTTTCGTAAAATTAGTAGAAAAGCATAATTTTCGCAGATTAAGTGTAATGGCATAATTTAATGGTCAAACTCGCCCAAAGCGTAATATCTCTGGGTGACTTACGCCCCAAAGCATCTCAAGCGACTTACGCCCAAAGCGTAAAGGGTGGCATCTCTGGGTGACGTATATGAGAGGACATCGGAGCAATGACAAAACATGTTTCAGTGGACACTCCCGTACACAGGAGCTGTGGCCTTTCATCTGAAACTGTCACATACAAATTGTTATTATCCACTGGTATCACTGAGAGTATGATAGTGTATTTACCATGTCATCTGTGTAGAGATGAGAGGTGACAGGCTGACTGACAGAGCCATCAAGGGGTTCCTCCTTCACGGTGACAGCCTCCTCCCCAGAAGAATCAGAGTTTGTTCCTACACATAATATTTCTCCACCATTACAAAACCATGAAAACATACTTCCATAAGTCAAATGTTTTCTCCGACTTTAAACATGTCATGTTTGATACATACATTGTAGTTGTGTTTACCAACACAAAATCATGTTAAGCATAGCTGGTCAGTTTCTGGCAGCAATAGTGTGACATCACTATGACTTAACGGCACAAGATTAATAATTGGACTTTCATCATGTTTATACCAAAAAATCAAGTTTACATCACCTTGCCTTCATGGTTTACAGGTTTGTTTGATGCCAAACCAGTGATTTATTGATTACTAATACTGTAACGATTCACTCGCATATTCAGTGAATTGAACCGTAGCCCTTCATGAATTCAATTTGTTATTCGTGGCCACCAGAACTGAATATTCATGAATATTTACAATTTTTTAAAGGTGTCCGTTTTACTTGAACCCTTAAGTCCTTTTTCAAAATGAGATATGCAAGAATGAAATATGTACTAGCCTTGTAGTACCGCTAAGTCATGTTAGTTTTCCAAGGCCGCACATGTTACTGTCAGCTATAACTATTAGATACCAAATTTGAGAGTCATGAGATCACTGGTTATTACTGTGACAAATTAACACTGTCAACATGGGCATTCAATATTGTGCATCAATCACTTAACTTCAATATTGTATTCATGAATAATTATTTGCATTCGTTACCCAATATTCGCGGATACGCTTCATATTCGCCACATAGTGCATTCTAGTTACAGCCCTATCAATGATTACCATATTTCATCAGGATACTGATGGCAAAGACCCGGGTTCGATTCCCCACAAGGGTAAAAAAGTGTGAAGTCCATTTCTGGTGTCCCCAATCATCATAGTGATGGAATATTGCTTTTAGTGGCATAAAACCTTACTCACTCATTCATGTACTTGTCAGGGTCCAATAATTCATACCTGTAATTAACCAGTATAACAACTAGTGTTGGGAATTGGTTAAAATCTCATAATTGATGATTGGTTCATTATAACAGATCAATCACCGAAAAAATTGGTTTGTGTCATTTTTTAAAGATTTTCCAATTCAGGTTGTAATTGCAGATAAGTATAACATGATGCAACTTGCTACTTTAAAGTGATGACTAAGATATCATGAACATAAACTTCTTAGGTCCGTTCCTCAAAGCAATCATAGCACTACGACTGTCGTAAGTCTATGTTAAAGTATGGGAGTTACGATAGTCTTAGCACTCTATGTTAAAAAAGTATGGGAGTTGCACGATCATCTTAGCCCCACTCGACAGTTGTAAGTCTGTGTTAAAGTATGGGATTTACGATCATCTTAGCACTACGACAGTTGTAAGTCTATGTTAAAGTTATGGGAGTTTAGCACGATAGTAAGTCTTAGCACTTAGCACTACAATTGTAAGTCTATGTTGAAGTATGGGAGTTACGATCATCTTAGCACTACGACAGTTGTAAGTCTATGTTAAAGTATGGGAGTTACGATAGTCTTAGCACTACGTGACTGTCGTAAGTCTATGTTAAAGTATGGGAGTTACGGTCATCTTAGCACTATGACTGTCGTAAGTCTTTGTTAAAATATGGGAGTTACGATAGTCTTAGCGCTACGATCGCTTTGAGGAACGAGGCCCTGGAGTTTTCAAAAATATTCAGTCATGACGTTTCAGTTAGTGAAGTCAGTATTCTAAGAATTATACACGTTTTCAGGCCCTGACAACTTCTAAGACATGTTCCGTCTTCAAGTTTTTCAAAGACTAAACCAGTAGTTCCAAAATTGTTTGTGTTTGATTATGAGAAAACATGATCGATTGCTTGGTCAATTAGTCACTGCGACCAATCTTCGATTATTTCAATTAATCAGAACACCACTAATAACAACCCAATCCCAAGTACACTTTTCAGACAGGCACAGCTTTCAGTCTGCTGCTCTATTTCTTTAACATCAAACTGTCAGCTTACCTACAACGCCTGTACCATGATCTGGTAGATGATGTACTGACACTGTCTCCATAGTGGGTAACGTCTCTGTCTCCTCATCTCTGTTCCGGACAACATGGAGGATCTCACTCTGTTCCGACTCTGCATTGTCAATCTCAATCTTTATGGGAACATCTCCTGGAGGCTCCGGAGTATCAGCAGTCTTGGGGGTCTGGGGAAATTGACACAGGGATAAGTGAGTCACAGTGAACATATAGGAGTTAAATGTGAATGTACCGGTTATTTCAGTTTGATGGAGTGTGTATTTGGAGGAAGTGTAGCTAGTGGATGAGTTCATGAAATAAAATGAATAAAGCTTGAACTTAATGAAACAAAAGAAACACACGTTTTGAGCAGCCAATGCGATTTTACTCTTCATTCAGCAATTGGCAACATGGTACTCTGGCCAACCAATCAGAAGGAAATGAACAATATCCTACCATCAGCTTGACTGGTCAAACTTGTGATGTTTACGTCTTTTTTAAAGCTATATTTAGCACTTGCAACAAACATCTTTTTGCAGAAAAATGCCTCCAACCTACAACTAAATGGTTTTACTAAGACAAAATAACCTTTGAAGCTCATTACTGGTTGCAGGAGCAAATGCCTCCAACCCTATAATCAGGCGGACGCTTTCTCTCATGGGAAATTCCTCTCTATATACACTTTTTAAAACAATTGTACATGTAATAGATCACACTTGTACCAATGATAATCTTTTTTAGTCTCTTTCCTACACGCATGTATGTGTCAAAGGTCAGATGATCTAAAATGACTTCCTCCCAGCCAAATAAACCCACCATGAGAAAATAGGGCACACTTGTAGGTATAAGTACAAAGAAGTCATTGATATAAGTTTTTAGAATAGAAGCAACTGTCTAAGAGAGACCGTTCATAATCTATGGTGTATGTATGTGTCGTTTCAACCCAACCCACCCCACCCCACCATGAGAACGGGTGAATGAGATGATGATTTTTATGGAGAAGCATGTACAATGTGAATGACCCCTAAAATATGATCAAAACAAGTCACCCCTCCTGTTAGTCTGTACAAAACAATTACACCCCACCTCTCCCTTCATATAATTTTTAAGCATAATTTATAATAATATTTATATACAGAATTGCTGCATGCTCCTTCTTGGACGCTGACGCTGTGAGCAGGTGATATGGACATGTCCAGCATATAGTCCAGGCTCTTGAAGTAATCTCTTGTGACTATCGCATATCCGTTTCTATCACAGACAAGTAATAGTATTAGCACTAGGTTTTCTAGACCAACAACACAGAATCACACATGTGTATTTCATTCATCTGGGTCTGATTGTAAACAGGCATCTCACCTCTCTACTGTTATTACCAACAAGCACCTGTTGACCTGAAACATAAAAGTCATAAGTGCTGTACCAATATAATTTCAGTTTTCACATTTCCCATATCCCTGAATGGACTCAACCCCAAACAGTATTAGAATCTGTACTTCACAGATAAAATCACCAATAGAACATATGTCACAAGAGATTAATCTGACTTTTGCCCCAAATTGGGTAACAGTCTCACTATCAGCCACATTATACTTCGGGATACCCATTACACATTTGTTAGTCTTACAACACAAACACTGTGAAGATCTGTGAGAGAACTGAGATTCAGCAACCCATGCTTGTCGTAAGAGGCTACTAATGGGATCAGACGGTCATGCTTGCTGACTTGGCAGATTGATGTCATTCTTTCCCAAATGTGTTGACCTAAGTTAATGACGCTAATTACAGGAAGTCTGATCCCGACACAGTTATTACAGACCCCCTGTCCTGCAGCTGAAACGTCGCTGATTGTAGGGGTAACAAACAACACTGCAACTCACATCTGTGTCTGTGTCCAACACGTTTTTTGGGCCCTGTCCTGAAATCACTCCACTGGCTACCCATAGAGCACCGCATCACCTTCAAGACTCTTTCTATCACATATTCAGCACTAAATGATGAAAACTCCCCAACCTATATTAAGGACATGTTACATCACTACCAACCCACAAGAGCTTTAAGATCAGCCGATGATAAACTACTTCATGTTCCTAAAACTAAAACAAAGATGGGCGAAGTGGGTCTATGCTTTGCAGCTCCAAAACTGTGGAATGCTCTACCACTGGAAATCAGGAACTGTCAAACAAAAGACTCTTTTCTAACTCATCTGAAGACATATCTTTTTTCGCTCACTTCAACAAGCGCCGTTGAGCAGTCATGTCCAATCTGGAAACCAGGCGCTATACAAATCAATTATCATTCATTCATTCAGTCATAATCTGTCCTTTCAGTGAGTGAGTGAGTTTGGTTTTACTCCACTTTTAGTAATAATCCAGCAACATCAGGACAGGGGCAAACCCGGGTCTTCGGCGTGACAAGCGAACACTTTAACCACTAGGCTACGCCACTGCCGCCGTCATTCGAAGTGGTAGATTACTTACCAACTGACTGAGATTTCTTCTGCTTGATGAGCGACGACGTCAGTCTTCTCTGAAGTTCACGAACTGTTCTCCCACGTCCCTTGTTGACCTCATTGACCTTCAGAGTGATCTCAGACCACACTTCCTTCAGTTTCATGATTCGCTGTTGATCACAGGCTGTGAATACATTCCAAAACTTTGCAATCTGTTCATCATACACCCGTTCCTCTTCCTCAGACAGGTCGCATGACTTGCTGGCTGGGCCTTTCTCGGCGTTCTGAATACAGGGATCCTACAAGACAAATGAGTTAGTTGGGTTTAATGTCACTTGATTATATGTTCATCTCTTTAGGGGTCACCATCACCACGACTACCAGAGGACAAGGTCAAAGAGCACTGACCATACACACAACATAGAGAGTAAACAGTCAGACTAATTGGTTAACCCCGCAGTACATCACAACATACAATCCTATGATCAGCTCTGATGGAACTGACACAATGGTGGCAAACATTTATGTCTTTTACGGATATAACATTACACATTTGCTTTGTTGGCCTTTAGGTAGATGCATTAGATACTCTAGTACTATTGCGGTAGAGTCCCATGCGAGATTAAGGTACCAAATAGACAGCACTAAGTCGGCAATATCTGATAGACTCAGACTTTGTGCGCTGGCAATTAGGTGCCTCGATCTGAGGATTTGTGTTCGAATTCTGTATGTCAAACACTGGGGTATCAAACTGGTGGCATGAAGAGCAAGCACTTTCACCACTAGGCTACCTCATCACCCCTGTTTCACATGAAGACACTCTGGTAATGGTTTTACGCCGCTTTTAGCAATATTTCAGCAATATATGGCGGGGGCACCAGAAATGGGCTTCACACACTGTACTGTAAGGGGAATCAAACCTGGGTCTTCGGCATGACAAGCCAATGCTTCAACCACTAGGCTACCCCACTACCCTCTGTGTCTGAGCATGCCTCAGGAATAATATTAACCAAAATGTCTACCTGGCTCTTCTTGTCCTTCTGTGGTGCTCCTCTTTTGGCAATCAATGTCTTGAAGACCTGAGTGGTGCCAACATTTCCTCTACTATCAGACTCATTGGTCATACTTTTCCTGGAATACACATGCTTCAGAAACAAATGTTTACTCCAGAGTGTCCTGAGTTCTTCTGGATTTATCTCCTTTCGGCTGGCTTCACAGTTCACTTCTTTGGCTATAGTACGCCATAAGGACATCTTCTCTTCCCTTTGCTCCAAAGACGTGGTTATTGTTTTCAAGATGTTTATATTACTCTCTACCAATCTCTCTACAATCTCCTTTTGGGAATCTGTCAGATACTTCCTAGAGAGTTCAACAATATTTTCTTCCTGTGTTTGGGGATTTAAGCTCGAAGAAGGCTGCAAAATAATAATAAAGGGCTGTTAAATGACTGTACTCACCAGCTCTGTATCAGCTGCACATTTGAGTATAATTGACAAAATAAATCACCATTACCGAAATATTTTTGAGCTGCTTGCTTAAATATACTCATGAAAAATGTGCTGTTGAAAACCAACAATATAATCCACTGAATATTTTTCCCAATGCACACTTCTCAAATTACATTCCTCAGAGTTTTACTGGAATATTGCTAACAGCGGCGTAATAACAGTAATACTTACTAAACTAAAGAGAGAGAGAGCGAGGATGGTTTTATTTACGCCGCTTTTAGAAATATTCCAGCAAGATCATGGTGGGGACACCAGAAATGGGCTTCAAATTCACATATGACATGGATATTGGCTTTCACCTTTAGAACTTGGCATCAGATTAAAAAAATGAACAGCTTACAAAACTGTACATAACTGTACAATATATGACAATACTACCTTAATGTCATCCTTGTGGTTCAAAGAAAACATGTCCTAACTGACCATACTTCCTTAAATGTCTTTAGAAAGAGTTGAAACAAAGGCCACAGAACTTATGGTTTGCTCTTTCCAAGAGTATTTTAGATGCAGATGATACTAACATAGCTTCCAATCATGCTTCCGTTCCATCTATCAATCAAAACCATTTCCTTGAATGCTTTACCTTCTGTTCCTTTGCAGGTGTCCTGACATTCTTCTCCTTTCTGCTAGACTCTTTATCTTCATCATCTTCAGTGTCTTCCTCCACCTCCTCATCTTCCATCTCCTCCTCTCCCTCCTCCTCAGTGTCTTCCTCCACTTGTTTATCTTCCTCCTCTGAGCTATCTGTACTTCCCTGTTGACTATTCGGTACAGATGCACCTGCCATTGTTGTCTGAAATGAGAACATAGTAATTTGATCCAAAACTTCCTCACCTTTTTTCCAAAATTATAGCAAGAAAATATACTCATAAACACAACTAAGGGATCACATGAAAGTACAAGTGTTCCTTTATTCTTTTCCAGGTTTCTTCACAAGGTATGTATTGCACTGTTGATGAAATTCTGGAAATAATTAAATGAACACTTGTACTTTCATGTGTTCCCTTATTCGTTTCCATGAATATATATGCAGTAAAAATTACCTGTACAGACATTATCGGGAGATTTTTACAAAACTACTTGCTAGAAAACAAGCATGCAATAACCAAATGAATAGAAACAGCCATTTCACCTGCTTTCATCTAGATTCACTCTTTTGTTTCAACTTTAATTCACAAAATACTGATGAACAAGGAATGAGGGCTGTTCCTACTGCAGCTCTCATACCAGAATCACAAAAAGTCTTCATACCAAACTGTCAATTATACTGCACCAATATTCAATCATCCAGCTTACTACCATGAATCTGGAGAGTGAAGGGACAGCAGTAAAAACCAGTTTTGATGCCATCCAATCAACAGTAGGGTTGGTTGTAGAAAGTTAATTTCTTGTATTGACAATATTATTTTTCAATGCCGTATACAGGGGTGGAAATAACCCATTGCCCGACGTCCGAGTCCAGTGTTTTTTTCTGTCGGGCAAGCAAATTTGTTTATCACACTGTACCGGTGGCCAGTTGAATTTCCAATGTTAATAATGTTGTTTATTTAAAAAATCAGCAAGAAAACGGAGGGTATAGTGGGAAAATTATCAGGGCAAGTGACTTTACATGTGCCACTGTACCGGAGTACACTATCAGTTTTAAAGTTATTTCCACCCCTGCGTATATGACTCACACAATGTATACCGACTCCGAGCCAATCAACCCCTGTTATATTCCTTTAATGCTGAGCACCATTCGGATGAACAACAAGTACAATATTTTAATGTCTCTTGTAATGATGCAGCATTATTTTGAACCTCCATTCTAATAACAATGATAATAATAACTGATTTCTATAACGCCTAGTATCAATAAACAGATGCTCACTGGTGCTCTGGCAAAGAGAAAAACAAATCCATGCAAATATATACACACAATCCTAAAAGTCTAGAGGAATGCTGAGCAGAAGAGGTGGGTTGAGAGACTTCAAAAGGGCTTTGTATTTTGTGTTTCTTAGTTCAGACGGCAGAGATTTCCATAAAGGTAGATAATCTATCCATGATAACAAGTAAGCATTTGACTTATTACATGCCTACTGACCAGCATATCTCCAAGGTCCAGCTCCTTTCCGTTGTGGAAGAACCTCTCCCTGGGAATGTGCGAGGCTCCCATCATGTCCACGTCTGAGGCGATAGGTCTTGGATTTGCTGAAGGCCCTTTTGACTGTGAAGAATAAGGTTTCTGCTGCCATTTTAGAAGATCAGGCTTCAACCTCTGGCCTATTGACGACATTCTCCTTTTATATAATTATAAATATTCATGTACATAATATTGTAGATTGAGAACAAACCAACATGAGTGAACAAGTAAAATATGACATTGCAAGCAGCATTCATATATATCCTAACAGAACAGATATAATACAACAACAAAATCAGGGATGCTATGATTTCCATGACAGAATAATTTGTGAAGGAAACAATCCAGTACAAAAGTTGTAAACTCACTGATGGAACGTGCTGTACCACAGCTACAACGTTTCCTTGAGTGGCATTTTTAGAACAACTTCTTTATTCAGGTGATGCCACGTTTTGATACAGATGCTTGTATCGCTGTCAAGCAGGTGACGATACAAGAATCTGTATCAAAATGTAGCTGTTATATCTTAAGATTAAAAAAATCTCGTTTTGTATTTTTGTATTTTCCAAAAACAAAGGGAAGTAGCTCTAGCCTTTTGTAGCCTTAGAAAGCATGTTCACTGATGAAGAATGACACACATAGAGGTTAAAAAACGGTAAATATCGCAATTTAAGGAAGTGTCATTTTATATATATTAAGCTAATTTCAAGACAAGTAATTTCATGTTAATTTCCTGCTATTTAATGTATATTGCTGCGATTGTTTATTGTACTTTTTCTGTTGTTATTGCAGTCAATCACTCGCACTCTCACTCTCACTCCCTCTCGCATGCGCACATGCGCGGCACAAGAAATAGAACAATACAAAGTGTGAAGGAAGATTGTCGTCCTCTTATTATTGAAAGGATTATGATACAACCCTAGAAACCCATAGTAGCATAACCTGAATAAAGAAGATGTTCATCCATAAAAATTGTCCTTATCTACTACAACCTGTGTTCAAAATAGACATTGGCCTGTAGGCCCGAAGCAGACAGATTTGTTCTTGGGCTGATCGTATTTGTATCTCCCCTATGACCTCCAGTGTAGTTCTAGCTTTTAAAGGTCACATGCAACGTAAAACACAACTTTGCAGATTATGATACCTTTCGGTATGGACTTACCGAAACAAATCGTCAAAAATGCAAATTCAACTTATAAAGTTGAAGAATAACGCGATGAAAAAAAACGCGCGAAATCGGAGTTCAAACGTTTCACTAATTTTCCCCAGACTTTTCTGGGGAAAACGGGTTTCAACAGCTGGGCTGCGCTCATAGCACGTGCGCAGTGAAATAGGTTCGCGCAACTTGGAAGCGGGTTGTCCGTTGAATACTCGGTGAAGGCTTTGGTGTGAGCTAGTTTTCTAATGTTATCTCACAGGCGCGAGCTTTTTATATGTTATGACAGTAAATTAACTGTTTATATAATTTCACCACACGTTCTTCTTACCGAGTCACTTTCTCAGTTCGATACTTAAAAGCAACGTCATCATTTAGCGTTGACAGAATTTCTAACTGTGAAATAGATATGTCGTTGTCACAGACAAAACTCAATGTCTTGTTTTATTGACATCTGTGTGTCTGCCTGCCTGTCTGCTAATGACAATATTCAATACACATCTGCTATCACTGACCACATGCAATTTGAACTTAACACCAATCAATCTATACACCATAAACAAACTGCATTGATTTATGGCCCGAGTTCGGTCTCTGTCACATTATGTAATTACACAGACAGGCAGGTGTGATAGTTGAACACATGACATGTTATGATGTCTGTTGATTGCAAAATGTTATACACAAAAAATGAGCATGTATTTACAAAACCCAACATCTCTACATATACACACACAATAAGCCGTGAGGGCACACGAGGGCAAATGAACCAGACGTTACACTTGAGTGCACACCCACCCGCTCTGACTGGGTTCGGTATCCCGGGCTGCTTCGTTTCTTGGGAAGTAAACCCAAGTACACAATATTGCACTTTTGATTTGCGATTATACGCTTATAATTTTGTTTATATGTTTTTTCATAGCCAGCAATGTATATTATATGTCACGAATAAGTGATAATAGTGTTTTAATTATGTTTGATTTTTTGGTTGCATGTGACCTTTAAGTATTTTAAGTACCCAGCTTCAAAGTACTCTGCTCGTTAATCAGTCATACAGACTGGACACGAGTGAGTGAGTGAGTGACTGAACAACAACTGCAAGGCAACGTTAAACGCATGGGACCCATGAATATCCCGGTTAGAATTGATCTTCAGTAACCCATGCCTGTCGTAAGCGGTGATTAACGGGATCCGGTGGTCAGGCTTGCTGACTTGGTTGAGACATATCAACGTATCCTAATAGCGTAGATCAATGCTCATGCTGATCACTGGATTGTCTGGTCCAGACTTGACTTTTTTACAGACTGACGTCATATAGCTGAAATATTGCTGAGTGTGGCGTAAAACTAAACTCACTCACTCACTAAAGCATGGGAGTAACGATCATCTTCATACAAAGATAGCTTTGTGGATGAGGCCCTGGATCACTGGAGCTCACCTGGGCATCATCACCAGATTCTTCTTCAGATTCTGGTTTAACTTCACTGCTGATCTGTACATCCTCGTCTTCGGTCTTTACAACAATGAAGTCATCTACCTCTGCAGGCTTCTTGCGAGAGTATTTCCTTGTCCTCTAAAACAGCAACATTGATTGAATGGATTAGTTAGCTGTCAGCAACAATAAATCTCTAAGACAGCTGGACTAAACATCGATAGCCTGAGCAGTGAACCATATCAGTGGGCTTTTAGCAATGAGTTCAATTATTATTTGAACATACAAATATAACTTAGGTTTGTATCCCCCCATCCCTTCTCTAAAGAGTGAGTGAGTGAGTGACAGTGGTTTTACGCTGCTTTTAGGAATATTCCAGCAATATCACGGCGGGGGACACCAGAAATGGGCTTCACACATTGTACCCATGTGGGGAATTGTACCCGGGTCTTCGGCGTGACGAGCGAACGCTGTAACCACTAGGCTACTCCACCAAACCCTTCTCTAAAGACATAAACAGTGATTATACCATCCTTAAAAATATATCAGAAAAACGTAAGACATTGTGCACCATGTACAAGAGCACCCTATAAAACGCCTGAAATTCTCTAGTCATCAGGATACCTTAAACATTAGACCAACAGGCTCTGCCTGAAGCCTTTATCAATAATTTCACAGTTAGCACACAAAGTTTGTTTCTATGTTGATTACACCATCAATAGTCCAGGTACATGACAACAGCCTGTAAATAATTGAGTCTGAGATAGTCAACTCAGGGACTGGTATTGTGAGCAACACGCAATCATCAAAGTTAACCACGTGAACTATTTGATCCCTCCTCCCAACCAGCACAGGTCGCTTTTGATTGTAACACACAGTCACCAACACTCACGCAAATAATCACATAATAACCATGGCAACAAGAAACATTTCTTTTCTCATTTGGACGTCAAAACAACATATGCTGCAAATTATATAAGAGATTTTATAAACAAGACTTGATAATCCCTTATCCCTCAATGTATACGATTGTATTGGCATTAGAGATACACTAGCATTGCACTGTATTATCAATATGCTTGGTTTGGTGTTGATGGTTTGTTGTTTAACGCCGTACTCAGCAATATTCCAGCCTTATACTAGCTGCAGTCTGTAAATAATCATGTCTGGACCAGACAATCCAGTGATCAACAGCATGAGCATGTGAAATGTGTCCACCAAGTCAGTGAGTGAGTGAGTGAGTTTAGTTTTACGCCGCACTCAGCAATATTCCAGCTATATGGCGGCGGTCTGTAAATAATTGAGTCTGGACCAGACAATACAGTGATCAACAGCATGCATCCATCTGGCGCACTGGGAAGAACATGGATCTGACCACCGATCCGTCTGTAGCCTCTTACGACAAACATGGGTTATTGAAGAACAGGATCTTTACGGAGGTCTGTACCAAAGGTGTTACCTGTGTATTATTGGATGTATTGGACGTCTCCCTGGACCGAAAAAGTATGTCCTCTCCCACATCTTCTTGCTTTATCTCAGTCTCCATGGAAACTACAAGTTAACAAAATGCAAAAATGTCATTGCATAAATCAGAATTTAAAAGTGACTTCAACAAGTTTCAATTTACTGACTGATTGTTTATACAGAGGTTTCAAATAAAGACTGTGTCACCAATTAGACACATTTATTTGTGTTTATGGAATCTAAACTACAGTTGTTCATCATTCATTTACGATGTCATTCACGGATACATCTTAAATTCTAATCAAGGAAAACAAAACAAAACAACGCTGGAGTTAATATAAGACTGATGTGCAAAATATACATACAATTCCAACCGATCCCGTTAGTTGTCTTCCTATCGAGTATCCAAGTACCTGCAAATGTGATTTCGGCTGCTTGTGATGTTGACCTATCAATAAATCTGTGGACTCACTCGTCACGTTTCCAATCGCGTTAAAATGCACCGGTTAAAAGTTAATCTAATCAAATCTGTACCGTTACACGCATTGTGCTATGTTCTGCATTCAGGATGACATTAAATGCACCATGAATAATAATAACAGGGTCGTCGCTATTTCGACCTAATAACAGAGAGTCGCTTCCGGTAGAGCAGGAGCGCACTAAAAGCGTTTACTTCGTTCATTGGCTAGTGTACGCAGATCAGAGGCGGGCGTTACCGATGTGGTATCATGGGGAAACCCCTATGCAAATGAGAGGGTGAACATATCGGGGTTCATATTTTTCATACGATGCCCGAGGGCAAAAAATCACTTTGTCATGGTGACGTGACGTCATGAACAATGCTATGACGTCACGTTTCTTCTGTGACGTTGCGTTCTATATGCGGCGACGGCGGGTAGACAGCCTGTTTGAAAGTAGATTTGGGTTATTTTCCTCAATTTGACGACTTCGGTAATAAACAGGATATTATATTTGTGCCCATATCATACTATGTTTACGACACTCGTGCCTAAATATCGGTATATCCCGCGCTCTCGCTCGGGAAATACCAACATTTAGGCACTCGTGTCGTAAACATAGTATGACATGGGCACTCATATAATACCCTCTATATACGAAAATATCTTCTTCCCGAGGATGAGAAAGGAATGACGTCATAAAACTCATCATGACATCAAGAACAATGGATGACGTCAATTTTCATTATTTGCGAGATACTGTCGATATGGCACGCGCCACTTCGCAACAATATAAAAACCAGGCAAAAACCTCGACGAACTGTAGCTAATCTGCATATAAACATAAACATGATAATATTCGGTGGCTCCACACAGCTTACCTGTATCCTTACCATATTTTAATTGTTTTAACTTATACTTTTGTCACAGGCTAAAACTGTTATTCATCTCTTAATATGTTGCCCATTTTTTGTCATACTTTACAGCACTCTAATGCGGGGTAAACATCCCATCGTAGTTGTGGTCTGACAAGTGCATTCTGGAGATTGGGACATGAAGTCCTGGTAATTCAGGTCGCATGACTGTCAGTAACGCCGACGACCCGGGTTCGATTCCCCACATGGGTAAAATATGTGAAGCCCATTTCTGGTGTTCCCCGCCGTGATATTGCTGGAATATTGCTAAAAGCGGCGTGAAACCCAACTCACTCCAAATCACCATCATCATCATCATCATCATCATCATCATCACCGGTTTCAGCACACGCCGAGTCGTACAACTATAACATGTAGAGCCAAATTTAGCGAAATGAAGAACAGCGTATCAGTCACCGAGCAATGCAAGTCATGCTAACTAAAAGAACTGACAGTCACCATTGAACCGACATATAACATTTATTCCGCGATAAATCACAAATTAATTTTACGTTTCTTACAAGGAAACCTGCTTCTCGATATTTTGCACATCAAGCCTCTAGGGTCAAGCTGTGTGCGTGACCGTGACGCCCAGCGAAAGTCACGGTGTAGTTTGTGATCAAGAAACTGAACTTTACAAAACAATTACCTTGTTATCGTTCTCTTCCCTTTTTATCTCAGAATATTTTACATTTATGGCTATACCCAACATTCCACATGTTTCGGGTTTCGTTGTTTGTTTGTTTTATTTGTTTTGGGGGGTTTTATTTTGTTTTGGTTTTTGTTTTTTGTGTGCACCATATCTGTTTGAATAACCCGTGAAGGTCCGGGTTAGAATGAACCTTCAGTAACCCATGTTTGTCGTAAGAGGCGACTAACGGGATCGGTTGGTCAGGCTCGCTGGCTTGGTTGACACATGTCTTCATTTCCCATTTGCGCAGATCGATGCTCATGCTGTTGATCACTGGATTGTCTGGTCCAGACTCGATTATTTACAGACCGCCACCATATAGCTAGAATATTGCTGAGTGCGGCGTAAAACTAAATTCACTCACCCACTCACTGTTTGAATAATGAATCTTTCGTTCCTTACTCGAGTATTCAGATAGGAGATAAACACGGGGTGTTATTGAGTATTTGAAGCACAGGAATTCCTTTGAAACTGATGGCGGTAGCCGGAGGTTTCAAATGAAATAATCCCGTTTATCGACGTTGTAAACACAAAAATATACCAAAGGTCCACACGCGTTTTTCTGTCTGCGTTCATTGACATCGAGTACGGGTACAGGATCTGGAACTGCTCACTTGTAACGTCATTCCGACGTCACAATATGATTTGAATGACGTCGCAACTGCTGACGACGCAATAATACAATTGTGTGCGATATTTGTACCTATTCTAAAATACGCAGCAAACAGTATTGCAAATACATTCGATCATGTTTTTCAGCCAATCAGATTAAAGAACACAGTGACTTTTGGTTTACATTTTGCATTTTATCTCCCCTGTCTTGTAATTTGAATCATCGTGGCGTGACAAACTGAGTGAGTGAGTGTGCGGGAGTGTGAGTGTGCGGTATACACATGGAAAAATTATCGCAACACCTATGATTTTCAACTCCCGTATAGCCATTTATATTCATATCATAATTATGTTTGTATGATTATTTTGACAGTACGAACGCAACATACATTGAATTTAGATATGCAGCATGCCACGATCAAAGGTGAGCATCACGCGCAATACCTGTAAATCAAATATACCATTAAAACAAGTAGGGGTTATTCCATTTTGCGAGCATACCACAAGCCAATGCCAACGCATATGAGAAAAAGTAGTATACATCAATACAGATGAAACATTTCCAAAGGAATGGAATAAATTGTCACATTTTCCCTTAATTTCTCTTCATCATCTGTTTTCTCCTTGGCTTCATCATTTGCATTTTATCAATCTTGTAAATCCAATATCCCTACCTTTTTTTGAATGGTATATACAGTTTCAGTAAACTGTTCTTACAACTCGATAACTTGGAAAATCAGTCGAGTTCGTTGTTGATAAGTCGATATGGGGCTTCCGCAACTGACAACTACTCAAAGATGGCAAGTTATTGGCATGCGGAATGCTGGCATGTCGTTGGGGGCTATTGCAAGAAAAATATTTTTAAAACTTGAGCCCTTGGGAGGGACCTGGTCCCGTAGCCCCATTGTGTATACTACTAGAGGTAATGGTTGTCATCCATCGACTATCATCCGAGTGGCCAGTAAATATCAACACATTAATGACGTTAAGGACCGTAAGCCTTCCGGTCGACCACGAGTGACAACTCCATGGGAGAATACAGCCATTCTCATCACAAGCCATTCTCATCATTATGGCCGTGAAAAGCAATATTGACCTCGGACTTCGTCCTCGGTCAATATTGCTTTTCGCGGGTCCATAAATACAGGTATTGACCTCATCACCAGTCTATAATTGTATATTATTATTTCTCCCCTTAAAACCCAAGATAATATTTTCTGGTGTTAAATCAATGTATCCTTCAGTCAACCTATCTAACCATTTAGCCATCTCTTTGGCCAGTCTTCATGGACGACAGTGCTTGGCCACATCGTGCACGTGCTGTTTAGGGGTTTTTTTTGTTTTGTATTGTTTTGACGTTATGAGGCGGTAGCAACTCTACTTTGGCCGCTAGGAGTCCAGATGCCAATCCCATAGAGCATGGTAAGGTAATTATGGTTCGCAGAATACGCAAGATTTCCTCCAGTACAAAATCTTGACCTATTGGAGCAAGCCCTCCATTAAGTGAGTGAGTGACTAGTTTTACGCCACACTCAGCAATATTCCAGCGCTAAACATAACACCAACCAACCTTGCCTGGTACCGTCTGTTTGGATCTTCTGCTGATCCCCGCTTCACTGAAGGTATGTGCACGAGTAAAAGGTATACTTTTACAAAAAACAGAAACACTGGGCTAACACCTACAAGACAAATCAGCATATTTGCCAGTCGTCGACGCACCGGTTGTTGTTTAAAAGCGGTTGCTGTATGATATCTACAAAAAGATCTGAAAATTGCTTGCTTCCAACATTACTATCTTCCTAATATGATTTGTACATTCCGAATGGAGAGATTTACAATGTACAACTTTTTTTGTAGTTCCTTTTGTTTTGCGGCAATATTCATACAGTCCAAAGGCCAATCTCACCTGATACGAATTTTGCAGTGTATTTTCAGTGTATTTACATATGTACTTCATGCCAATCGTTCTGACTCTGTGTTAAATATTGATGAATCCTTAAAGAGGCGGGTTTTCTTACATAACCTTTGGCCAGCTAGTATTGATCAGCTTCCAACTCTTCCAGAGCAAATATTGACAGTGACTTCTTAATGTGAGCTAGGGTGGTGGGGTAGCCTAGTAGTAAAAGTGTTCGCTGGTCACGACAGGGCTTGATTCCCCACATGTGCATAATGTGTGAAGCCCATTTCTGGAGTCCCCTGCTGTGATATTGCTGTGATATTACTAAAAGCAGCCTAAACCCAACTCACTAACTCATAACCTGAGTTAATTGATTGTGCATTTCCTAGCCAACAACTTGACAGTCGGGGGATTTTTGTTTGAAAAACACAATTTGTTCTAGAAAATGCTGGAAAAAAGTTTGCGCAAGGTTTAACCTAATATTAATTGACATCACCAAAAATCTCACATGCACTCTGTTAGGACATGCAGTGTTTACTTGGCAGAAAAATGAAAGTGATAAGATTGACCCTGATTTAATGCTTGTGAAAGTTCCACATTGCAGCAGTTCAATGTGGCAATTTATGGGTGTGTTGGATTAATAGAACACCTTAAGCGAGCCAGTGGGATTACCATTCTTGTGAAACAATAAGTATGCTCTTGGTGCCAAGAGAGGTGAGGTGAAATGGGGTTAATTAAGGTCGTACTTCAGAATATTTCCTCATATGAGGACGTGTATGTGTGGCTGTCGAGCGCCAGGCAGGGACCAACAAGTACCATATTTTAACGTCTTTTGGTATGACGCGGTCTGGAATCGAACCCGCAACCTTCCGCTCTCGGACACTCCAATCACTACTCCATGGAGGCGTTCTGGTACTAAGAGAACAATCATCATAAGAGTGTAGGATCTAGTACAAGAGGTATTCTTTGAGGAGACATGCTCACACCTGGTGTGTATGATTCTATGGCAAATCAGATAACATAGGCTCCACACATCACATTAATGAGCGAATCTTAGTCTTCATGCATTTGTCACCACTCGCCCTTTCTGTAACCTCCAGTCACTATTCGGCTTGTCCTGGAACAACAGGAATTGTTCACGAATGAGTCTACATGGTGTGGGCTATCCCACACTTTAACCAGTATGCCAGCCAATACCCATTCACAGTAAAATTCACAGCTTGTTTTTGAAGAAATGAAGAAAAATGTTCATCTGGATTGATTGGCTTAAACATGAATTTATTCACAGAAATAGGATAGGGTACAAGTCACATGTTGTGTAAGATGAAGTGCTACGACTTTGTTCTGCCTCTAATAATATTTGATATTTTACTCATCAAACTTGACTACACAACTACACATATAACTATATCATTGTACAACTGGTGGTTTCTACTAGCCCCAGTGCTTGTGTCTTGCCTGTCACTGTTCTGTATACACTTCAAATCCATGATTGAGTCAACTGTGGGCATAACAAGCTAGAATATCAGTTTGGCGACATACTGGGTGCTGACTGTCACAGCACCTGTTGGTTTCTCTTCTCCTTGCCTCGATTGGCTGGCTAAAGTAGTTACCATGGCTGATACACAAGTGGCACTATGTATTCTCAGGTGGTGGAGGAAGCTGGTGTTACAAGGTGGGATTGAGGATGGTGGTTTGCTGTTTCTATGAAGCAGTCCCCTCTCCCAGCATAAGACGAGTTACATGTTCATCCACTTCTCTAACAACAGGATAAGTCCTGATAGGAGTCCAGCACATTGGATGAAAACAAAGTGTAAATAACCCTCTTTTATGAGGGTTTGAATGTCACAGCTGTTTGAGAGCGGGTGAAAGAAGTGTCCTTGTACAAATACAAATAACCTATCAAGTGGCACTCACTAGCTACACACAACTTCCAAACTTTCTACCTGACTCACAACAAAACTGTTTGGAAGTCATGATAATTGCCAGATTGTGTGGCTTGGTAGACCCTGCAAGCAATGATGATGGTTTTGACTGTGCAGATACGGACACCCTGCGAGTCATGAGGTTGGTTATTTCAATGGCTATATGTGAGTATTTGTTGTAACTGATTTTTCAGATCTTTCCTTCGAACACTCTCGACTGCCTCTGATGAGTCTCTCCTTCAGAGTTCACATCTTAATTCTGTACCTGCAAAACCAAGAAAATAATTAGTGAGACATTGTTTAACCTGTTTTCATTTGTTTCTTAATTTCTATTACTTAACAACTTGTTATGATTTATCATAATCTCTTAGATACCAGGATATAAGCAATTATACCCTGGGCTTGATTTAAGGAAATGAAACCTACCTGCACCCAGTACAAACAGGTAATAACTTTGTTGCACCATACAGAAACAGGTTGCACCTGCTGCTCAATATAACATTTTATATAAGGCTTGAGTTTTGGTATGGATGATTTAGAACATCATTTACAAGATAACATAGTCTGATAAGATCATTTCATCAAAAATGTCATGCCATGAACAGTAACAGTCATTCAATCACTGTCCGTCCGTGTACTCATCAGAGTCACTGCTCCAAGCCAGTTCCTCATCATTCTGTTTCCATCTGAATTCTGTGTTCTTTAAACAGGTAAATATTACCAAGCACTGGTTGCAAGTTGGCATGAATATGAGGTTGCATTTTGCAGTTTCAGGTTGCACAAGGTGCAACTTCTAATGGAGCCCTGACACCTTATTCAACTTACAGAATAGTTAGGATGAAACTTCTTGATGTGAAAGAGAAGACTGCCATTTGTCTTGAAAACACAGTAGCACATTTCACACCAGAACATTGGCTGACGACCATCACTGACAACATTGTGCATTTGCTGAAAAGACAAGAAAAGAATGTAAATTTCTAATGTCACAGACCACTGTAATATAGCTAAAATTGCCGACAAAAAACCCAAACAAACAAAACGTTGCCAGGCACTGGTAGACTTTCTGTCTTACCTTGACATGTAATTGTCGATGTTCATCCGCAACAAAGGTCATTGGACAGAAGCTGCACCTGAGAGGCTCTTCTCCTGTGTGAGTGAAAATGTGAGCCTGTAGACTGCTCTTCTGTAGGAAAGCCTGGCTGCAGATCTCACACTTATAGGGACAGGCATCTGAAATCAAGTCAAAATTAGATGTATATACTCAACTTTGAAATATCATCAGCATGCAAAGGCAACGAGTGAAAGCTTTAACCACTAGGCTACCCCACCGCCCCTGACCAGTAGAAGCAAAGTGACAAGCGTACCTGTCTTGTTTGATATGCTGGGGGTTGGGGTAGGGGTGGCAGCAACACTGGGGGTTGTGGAGCTCCTCTGGGGGTCCTCGGTTGTCATCTGGGGCGTGGCTGCAGCATTGGTTCCTCTAGGGCCCCCTTCTGTGGGAAGAGCAGGTTCGACTGCGGCGGCCAAGTTGTTCGTAGCTACTGGCTGGTTTTGGCTCATCTGTTGTGGAGACATGGCTGTCGGAGCTGGCTCACCTGGCTGGCTGGGGGTGTCACCTTGTGCAGCTGTCTACATAGGCAAAAACAATATTCTTATATCTCTGTGGTCAAAGGATTTTATTGTCTTAAACACTGGTGAGTGAGTGAGTGAGTTTGGTTTTACGCCGCTTTTAGCAATATTCCATCAATATCACAGCAGGGGACACCAGAAATGGGCTTCACACATTGTACCCAAATGGGGAATCGAACCCGGGTTATGAGTTGAATCTCTAGGCTACCCCACCGGCCCTGGACTAAGCAATATGCCTTCTAAATAAACACTGATGGGTTACACATGAACCAACCAAGTTGGCTAGAATTTTCAAAAGTCAAAGATTTGTGTGACTGTTTTTAACACTGCAAAGTATGCCATATCATCGGATATGTCTTTGGTTATAATGGCATGTATCAACCAAGTCAGCAATTATGACCTCTTGATCCCGTTAGACACCTTTTTATGAAAAGCAAGGACGCTCAAGACCAATTCTAAGACTGTGTGGTTCAAAGAACAGCAATTACCTTTACTGTTATCAAGGTTAATGAGCAAAACGCCCTCAGCGAGGGACACCAGATATGTGGGGAAATGAACCTAGGTTTTTCACTTGACGAGCAAATGCTTTAACCACCAGTCAAACACACCACCCCTAATAACGTCTGTTTTGTTGGTATGTTACTTGTTTAACACTGCAGTCAGCAAATTACCACTTATATGGCAGAGGTCTGTAACTAATTGAGTCTGAATCAGACAATCCTGTGATCAACAGTATGGAATATGATGACATGTGTCAACCAAGTCAGTGAACATGACCACAGGGTCCCGATAAACGTCTCTTACGACAAGCATGGGTAGCGGAAGACCAATTATAACCAGTGTGATAGTAAAAATCCAATTGGGCCAGTAAATCTCCACAGTCACTGGCCCCCATGCTAGTGATTTTTCATGGGGTAATTTTCTAAATATATCACTCTCTCCGACTTGTTAAGTTATAATACACAGGCAAGATTAGGGCCAGATAAAAATGTTCATCATATTAGTAGCTTAATGATGAAACCCATGTCATGCCAACAATATCTTATTCTCATCTATTTTTGAAATCTTTTGCTTAGTTTCTACATTCAAATTTCAGGCTAGTGAATTATTTTGTGGGCTAGTAACTTTCAATCACAGCTAGCCCCGACTGGGTAGCAAAATTTGGAAACTATTTCCCACACTGATTATAACAAAGATTGGCACCCGTCCCCTAACAGTAATAATGGTTAGAAGTTGGACTGATACATCCCTGCAGAACAAGCCAGAAGACAAAACATGGAACTAGAACTGTAATGGCCTTAAGGGTCCAGAGAGATGAAAAAATACCACAGATTTTAACGTTAACGATGTTAAAAGTGACGAAGAAGACTTGTGTCACTGAAGTTTTGCCCAGAAGGATGACTCACCACACTATTGGGGTGAACCCTTCTGATGTGAACGTTGAGGGTACCCTTTCTCTTGAACACACAGCTGCACATTTCGCACTTGAGGATGGGACGACTGCCATCATCAACAACATTGTGTACTTTCTGTAAAACAGCATGAAAACATGAATATGTATCAGCGCTCATATTAGTTAATACATTGTAGAAATAATGGCTTGACATAAATGTCCACAGTACAGTTTAATGTAAGTATCATAGCAAATCAAAGTTAAGTGGCAGCCTGACCCCTTTGACGTTTGCTGCTGTACTTATTTAAATCTAGGGACCCCTTAATTTTATATTCCTAACATCTAAGAGCCATACTTTTTCATGTTTATCACTGTAACAATACCATGAAGTCTCCATATTTGTTTTACTCAAACAGATCTAAACATAGTTTTATAGTTTAGAGTGAGTGAGTTAGTTATTTTCAGCAATATTAAAGCCGTATAACGGTGGGGGTCACCACATTCAAACACTGTACCCATGTGGGGTATCAGGTCACTGGCATGACGAGCAAACACAAGGCTATCCCACGGCCCATTTAGTATTGCGGAATACAAACTAGCCAAATGGTGATCATATGTAAAGTCACTCCCAAACAACCCTTCAAAACAGCGTTCGAAATAGCTACTAGTCCGCTAGCCAAATGCTAGCTGATTGTAAATCAGGCCAGTAATACTTTGTTAAAGCTATCCTGACTGGCTGGCTGACAATCTCAGATAGAAAGAAATCTTAGTTTTTGTATTTGTTTGATATATATTGTTTCCAAGGGGGACAATAACTTACCATTTTCAACTACCTACATCACACCAATTCTGAACGATGTGCATTTTGACATTGATATTTTGCAGGGCCAGTGAAGTATGACGTGGGCCAGCACCAGTTTACTTAACAAGCCCTCCTGGCCAGTGACTTTTCAAAACTAATTCACACACTGCTTCCAAATACTAACAATTCTACTATCAACACAATGCCTTGCATAATACACAAACTGACTCCTGGTTGTCCCACTTCTATCCATGCCAAATTTTGAGGGAATGATGCAGTGTAATAACTCTCCTCTTACCTCTGCATGTTTGCGCCTATGATCATCCACAGCGAATGTCATTGGGCAGAGTTGACACTTGACTGGCTTAGCTCCAGTGTGTTTACACATATGGGCCTGCAAACCACTCTTCTGGACAAAACCCTTGCCACAGATCTTGCACTTGAAGGGATGTTCACCTGAAACAAAGATATCAGTTTTGAACGCTCTTAGCCATAAATGATACACCAAGTTACACCATCTAACTGTTACCACAAGTTATCTTACCACCAAATATTAGCAGAATTTCAGTGTTAAAAGAGTCATCAGTTTACAGTGTGAGTGAAAGGTCAACAAAGCTCTTTGCCATAAACATGATAACAGAGCTGCAACAACAATATCCACCAAGTTATAACATCAAGAGATAGAGATTAAGAGATTAGAATTGCAACGGTTTCTGTAACCGTCAGTAGTGAGTGAGTGAGTGAGTGAGTATGGCTTAATGCTGCTTTTAGTTTTAGCAATATTACAGCAATATCACGGTGGGGGACACCAGAAATGGGCTTCACATATAACTGTCAGTAACAATATCAGTAATTATAATAATGTATTTCTTTAAACATATATTCTAAATATTTCTGTGCAGAAAGCGTATCTTTTCGGTATTAATAATCAAATAGTTCTTAGATGACCACAAATTACAAATAGCATGTTAAATCAAAACAAACACAAATTCATCAGGTAGCTAGCTATCTTTTGTTATTTAAGTAGAATTTACTAGAAAATCAAAGAAAACATCTATAGCCTCACTCTCAAAACTGTTTATATTTATTCTGAAACCAAGTGAAAACCAAATTTGAAATAAACTGAAGCATGCGTCTATGTTTTTTTGCTTGTTCAATATTGCTATTAGCTATTTAGGTCTGTAAATAATCAAGTCTGGACCAGAAATCCAGGGATCAATACAGTTGGCAACCATTCACAAATTGCTCATTGTCTTCATCAGCCCAGAATGAAATCATAGAGATAATAAGATGTTATATGTTGGCACCCAATATGCAAGTACACAGAATAACTATTGCAGTATGTAATGTTTGAAAAGTGCATTGCTAGGGGTGAAACAGTATACCGCAGTATTAATAGAACTTCGGTATTTTGTCTTCGGTTCGGTATACCGTAATGCAATCCAAACATTCGTTATTTTCGGTTTTCGTAACATCGTTTTATTAACCTTTTTTAAACCTTTTCAAAAATGCTTAGATATCCAATCATTTTGTCAAAATCTATGCATTTCTTTGCTAGATGGCTCTTGTCAATTTTCTGCATTATGATCGTATCTCATATACTGAACCGAAATGGACCGAACCGAAGGCCTTGTACCGTAAGAACACACCATTTTATCCCTTTGCATTGTGGCATATCTGTATACCGATAATACCGTGAGTGTTAGCAGCGTTCAAATTACCTGCCTGCCCAACCGGGATGGGTTATTTTCAACACAGACTGCAAGATTCTTAAATTCACCTGACCGACGGTCGGGTTAAAATTTAGACATGTATATGAAGTTAGTATTAGTCTTTTCAATACTTCACAAGTTCTAATTTAATTATAATAAGTGAATTAGTATTTTTTGTGGGCAGGTAAGTTTTGGTCAGTGCTGGCAAGTTTTTACATCTAACCAGCCCTGTGGACTGGCTGACATTTTTGGTAGTTTCATACCCTGGTGTTAGTGTCTATACGAGTTGATGGTGATGACACTAGTAATGGTGATGACACTAGTAATCCTACTGCCACATCAGCAGGAGCCCAACTATTGATGGTCAGGTGATAATGTTACTTCATCATCAAACAAGTCTTTGCTTCACATAATGTTAAAAAATAGCTCAACAATGTTCACAGGCAGTGACTTATGTCAGTCACTGAAAAACAAAGACTAGATCTGAGAATTGTACATGAATTCCCATGAATTCAGTAACTTGCAACATACCTGTGTGAATTCTCTCATGTCGCTGCAGATTGTCAAGCCTTTGAAATGTCTTGGTACAGTAATTACATTTGAGCAATTCAATATTGGTCTTGATCGAGGGCTCAGATGAACTGAAATGAAACAGAAAAGAGACTATAATGGAATTTCTCCCGCAATATCAACATGAAATATGGGCATGTTGGAGATGTTACAGTATGGGAAATAGGGAAACAGTGACGCACCGTAATCCATACTTCAGTGTATGTAACAAATAGGACATCTCAAACATCATACAGGCTGGGTTTCAAGATTAATGTGTCTCCATGTATCATGTGTCCATGTGTGGTGTCCGTGTGGTGTCCATGAGTGGTGTCCATGTGTGTTGTCCATGAGTGGTGTCCATGTGTGTTGTCCATGAGTGGTGTCCATGTGTGGTGTCCATGAGTGGTGTCCATGTGTGGTGTCCATGAGTGGTGTCCATGTGTGGTGTCCATGAGTGGTGTCCATGTGTGGTGTCCATGTGTGGTGTCCATGAGTGGTGTCCATGTGTGGTGTCCATGTGTGGTGTCCATGTGTGGTGTCCATGAGTGGTGTCCATGTGTGGTGTCCATGAGTGGTGTCCATGTGTGGTGTCCATGTGTGGTGTCAACGTGTGGTGTCCATGAGTGGTGTCCATGAGTGGTGTCCATGTGTGGTGTCCATGTGTGTTGTCCATGAGTGGTGTCCATGTGTGGTGTCCATGAGGTGTCCATGAGTGGTGTCCATGTGTGGTGTCCATGAGTGGTGTCCATGTGTGGTGTCCATGTGTGGTGTCCATGTGTGGTGTCCATGAGTGGTGTCCATGTGTGGTGTCCATGAGTGGTGTCCATGTGTGGTGTCCATGTGTGGTGTCCATGTGTGGTGTCAACGTGTGGTGTCCATGAGTGGTGTCCATGAGTGGTGTCCATGTGTGGTGTCCATGTGTGTTGTCCATGAGTGATGTCCATGTGTGGTGTCCATGAGGTGTCCATGAGTGGTGTCCATGTGTGGTGTCCATGAGTGGTGTCCATGAGGTGTCCATGTGTGGTGTCCATGTGTGGTGTCCATGTGTGGTGTCCATGAGTGGTGTCCATGAGTGGTGTCCATGTGTGGTGTCCATGTGTGTTGTCCATGAGTGGTGTCCATGTGTGGTGTCCATGAGGTGTCCATGAGTGGTGTCCATGTGTGGTGTCCATGAGTGGTGTCCATGTGGTGTCCATGTGTGGTGTCCATGTGTGGTGTCCATGAGTGGTGTCCATGTGTGGTGTCCATGAGTGGTGTCCATGTGTGGTGTCCATGTGTGGTGTCCATGTGTGGTGTCAATGTGTGGTGTCCATGAGTGGTGTCCATGAGTGGTGTCCATGTGTGGTGTCCATGTGTGTTGTCCATGAGTGATGTCCATGTGTGGTGTCCATGAGGTGTCCATGAGTGGTGTCCATGTGTGGTGTCCATGAGTGGTGTCCATGAGGTGTCCATGAGGTGTCCATGAGTGGTGTCCATGTGTGGTGTCCACCACCCGATCAGCTTAGTCACCTTTTATGACCAGCATAGGTATCTATGGGCCAACATTCTGCACATGCGGATCTCCACCAAACAGGAATCACTAGGTGAGTGAGTGAACCTCACAACTCCTCAGGGCCCGTATATACTTCGACTCAATGTATTCAGTTAAATATCCCAGTACATTAAAGAAAAACACCACTACAGTCTTACTTGACTTTGAAATGCTGCTTCTTGTGCTGTCTCAGCTGTGCTAGATTCGTGAAGACCTGCTTGCACTCTTGACATGAACATTCTCTGTTGATATCTGCATACAACACCAGCATGTTAAACACACATCATGTACTTGGATGTATAATGCATTCATTAATTGTACACAAAAGGAACCAGTAAGGTGCTCCTGGTTACAACCATTGTGTCACCACATACAAGGCCATTTCAAGGATTCTTTCCAGAGTCAAACATGATAAAGGATGGCACTCACATTCATCTTGTAGAAGGCTCTTATTACTATTAGACTTAAGTCAAGCAATCATCACGCACACAAAATACAATATCAGTTATAAAGTTTAAATTATTTGCAGTATTTTCATGATTATTGCATACCAATGCAGACATTTACCAGTTGTTCAGAAGCACCTATGTATTTAATAAATGTACAGTAATATAGACAAAGATGTCTGGTGTCTTATTAGAGCCCCTTTTTCAAGACAATCTGTCCCATTCAAGGACTAAGTCCTGTGTACACCCTGTGTGTATTTGATAGGGTTGGGCATCGCCAAAATGTTCGTATTGCGATATATTGTGATATGTGTTGGCGTATTGCAATATGTATTGCAATATATTGTGAAAGTGTAACACATGGGTTAAAGTAATGAAATTACTGTTTCCTTTCTTTTGAAACAATGACACTGGTACAAGAGATCAATTGAAAATGTTTCCAATTTGAAGACTTCGCTCAAAAGTTTGGAACTCGAGAAAAAGCGTATGCAGCGGCGTCCGCCATTTTGGTTTGTTTATCCCTATGAGTGGCGGTAACAATCTATTTTTTTATTATATGGTTTAAAAGTCACGCAAATGCAATTATATGACCAATAAACATTCTCAAAACTATTAATGTATAATAATATAAAGGAAATATAAATGTTTTTAATTAGTTTTGACTATATCACGAAAATCGTATCGGGAGAACCGGTTCGCAAAAAGTGTACCGCAATATATCGTATAGTGAAGTTCGAATTGCAATATACCGGTTAGCCAGTATTGTCGCCCACCCCTGGTATTTGATGCTCTCTTCTAGCTAAGGGATGGATGATTATGTCTGAAAAGTGAGCTTATTACCATGTTAGTCACCTCTTTTGACAATTATAAGTTTCTGAAGACACATTCTAACCAAGTCCATCCCAAGTGTAACGAAACTTCAGAGAAACACACAAGATATTGCAAAAAGACATTTTGCATCATGCAACATAGAGTTACAAAAGAGCAGATGCAACAGTAGCTATAACCACAGTCAAAATATAAGAATCATGGACAGTGAGGAGGTGAACATGTGATCATGGTCTTTCACACAGACCAGGGCTGTGTATATACATAGTACTATAATATACAACAGTACAGGCATCTGTATTACAATACGTATTGTGATATACTGGGAGCTAAAGTGTTTAACAGTGAGCATGGTAAGCGACACTGATTGTGTGATCAGATCCTATTTTCTACATACAAAGGCCCGTGAGTGAGCTTTTACGCCAATTTGGTAATACCATGCAGTCATATTAACTCCCATACTCTGTCATAGACTTAAGACATGCATAGCCCTAAGGTTGTTTTGTGCAAACGTACCCAGCTGCATGAGAATAATAAACACGAGGCCAAATACAATACAATACAGACTTGAAGCTGGAATTTCACCCCCCCCAAGTTGAGCATGCAACATAACAACACCATGTACTCAATAATGCAAATAAACTGTTTCAACTTACATGTGCGTTGGTACTTTTCACTGTATGTGCTGGGGTCGGGCAGGTTCCTCTGTACTAAAGATAGAGTCCATCTGCTCTGAAGTTCATCAACTGTTCTTGGAGGTCCCTTGTTGACCTCATTGACCTGATTTGTGATCTCCGACCACACCTGTCTAAGGTGTGCATCGCGTGTGGGATCATTTTTCCTGAATCCTTCAAAAAACTCTTTATATTTGGCTATTTGTTCCTCAAACACTTTTGCTTCTTCCTCTGAAAATACTGGCGCATTTATAACGGTTTTGTGTATCCTACGTTGAGACCTGGGCTTTGTAGACCTTGTCCTCGTTATTAAGGTGGAGACCCATTTCTTCTGCAGTTCATCGATTGTCCAGTGAGGTCCTTCACTGACCGCATTGACACAGTCTGCAATGTTCCCCCACACTTCTTTAAGCTTCGCATCATGAACTGGACTACTTCGCTTAATATTTTGAAATATGGTTCTATATTTTAAGATTTGATCAGCAAAAGCACCTGCCTCTGCTTCGGAAAAGTCCCTTGGGGGAGTGTTTGCATCATCCTCATCTTCCTCTTCCTCCTGCAAGTCAAAGATGGGGTCACACTTGTTTAAAAACAGTCACTGATGGACTATTGATGCATTTTGACTACCTATAAATTTGCACCCAAACTGGACAGACAAGAAGACGGTTGGTTTGTTGTTTAACGCCACACTCCGCAATATTCCAGCTATATGGTGGCGGTCTGTAAATAATCAAGTCTGGACCAGACAATGAAGTGATGAACAGCATGAGCATCAATCTACGCAACTGGGATATGATGACATGTGTCAACCAAGTCAGTAAAACTGACCACCAGATCCCGTTAGTCATCTTTTACAACAAGCATGGGTTACTGAGACCAATTCTAACCCGGATCTTCACCGATTGACTAGAAGACAGGGGCAATAATGACATCATACTCTTTAGGTATACATACGTACAATGCTCATGTTAGGCTTAGAAAATCTAGAGGGACTGAGAGTACTGATCACTGAAATAACTATGCAATTTAGGTCCACAGATTTACAAAGAAAGTAAGGTATTAAATATCAATACTTATTTGCCCTCACCTCACCTGTGATTATGTTTTGACAAGCTAGGAAGCTGCTTCTTAATACTGATGACACATGAACTAAACTGAACAACCAGAATCATTAGTTTTCTCTGCCTGTTTCTTAACCCAGCACAATCCACTATGACAATGAGCAACAATGCAAGCCATAGTCTGTTTGCAGTGAAAACGTAATTTCACTTTAAACAAAAAAGTAAATCAAATTAAGTGAAATTAAGATTGCGAATCCTCATAATTTTACCTTGCCAAATGAACATTTAAATCTCAGAATTTTATTCAACTTAGGATAAAAGTTGTTTAACAAACGATCATAGATTCAAATGCTATTATTGGTTTGTATTACAAGGGGGTAAGCGCAGTAGATGGAACAGTGAAACAAATGCACGTGCGGTACGTGATGAGCTTTAACTTAGACCAGCCCTACTTGTTCTTGGTGTTTCATCTAATGTGCATACCCCCTTGTAATACAAACCAATAATAGCAATTTGAAACTATGAACGTTTGTTAAACAACTTTTATCCTAAGTTGAATAAAATTCTGAGATTTGAATGTTCAATTGGCAAGGTAAAATTATGAGGATTCGCAATCTTAATTTCGCTTTAATCGATTTACTTTTTGTTTAGAGTGAAATTCATCGTTACGTTTTCCCTACAAACAGACTATAATCTGAGCATTAGTTATCATGACGGTATAAACAACAATGGTAAACATGCCCCAAGAACTATATATTATTGCTCTGATTTTCATTCTCAGCTCCCTGAGGAGTAGCCAGAAGACTGCTTGCGCGATGCCAGAAGACTGAGAATCTCATCACCATCACACCCTACTGGGTACCCATTCCCTGTTTGGGCAGAGGAGGCATATTTCGAACAAATGCCTAAGGGGCATAAATGTGTTTTAGTCTGGGGAATGAAGAAAAGGACCGGGCTGTAGGGTAGCCTTGTGGCTACAGCGTTAGTTCATAAGGACGAATACCCAGGCTCAATTCCCCACATGAGTACAATGTGTGAAGCCCTTTGTCCTCTACCATACTCATGCTAAAAGTGGTATAAAATCATACTCACTCAATCACTCAAGCAGTCTCCGATCCAACCACTCTTCACAACCAACAATGCTTAACTTCATCTGATTAGAGACCACAGGGCCCTTATTCTCGAAACGTTCGTAGCCCTAAGAATTCTTAACTTTGATTGTAGCCAATATGTTAAGAATGGGCTTAAGAAGTTTGTAGGGCTACGAACGGTTCGAGAATTGCTGGCCAGGTCCTAGATTTTTCGAAGCTCTCTTAACGCTAAGATAGTCATTAGTCAATGTTAATGTAAGTTACTTATGACTATCGTAGCGCTAAGAGAGCCCTGGGTCCGATCACAAAGAGTTCGTAACATTATGACCTGTAGTACCTCTATAGTTTAACATAGGCTAACGAATGTTGTAGTGCTATGAACGCTGTGTGGACCGGGGCCCTGGGTGTTATGCACAGAAGCATCTGAAGCCACAAGAGTAATCTTGGCCAGGCCAAGAAGTGGTTGATGCATGGTTAAATGTCATCACCACTGGGGTTCAAAGATGACAAACCTTCAGAACCAGCACAACATACTGAGGACCTATTCTGATCCAGATTCCGAGCAGGAAAATAATTAATTATTATGAATAATAGGTTTGACATGTATTCTGTGAAATTAACAAACATGGTTCGTACATCGTCGTCATCATCAGGGGTGACATCGGCCCCTTCAGGACAGGGCACCTTGCAGGCGTGGGCCTGTAAACTACTCTTCAGGACGTAACTCTTGCCACAAAGTTTACACCTAAAAGGATGTTCACCTGAAACAAAAATACATCATATTCTCTATCACATTTTCCTCACAAAATATGTAGTGAAACGCTCTGAGCACCCTTGTATGCGAGATGGGTGTAGTCAGTGCTGCTTGGTGAAGCCCTTAGCAGTAATTATTTTAATAAGAATGACAAACCCTCTCAAGTGTGAGTGTGACTTATGCATGCCATAACCACACATACCCTCACGTCTAACGACATTTAGACCCTTTGCCAATGTTCATTACTTGACCTGTCCTCTGCCATTTGAATATTACGTAAAATGTCCAGCCCTTGATTACATCAAATGTCAAGAGAGGGTTGCAGATCATTAAAAAAACAGGTTTTTTTTCAATCAGCTGCCCCAACACAGATCGGGATCAGTCTGGTAAATAATGTAAATAGTCCTTGCATTCCTGTTGTTTACTTCTCATGGGCCCTTGTCCCATTATTACCTGCTTGCAGCCCATAGTATATCTTTTGTTTGAGGGTCGAATTAGAAAGCACAACCAAGGGAGGTAATTGGGTCTAGTAAGGCAAACATAAGTAAAAGCGTGAAGTTGAATCTTCATTCTCAGTAGTGGTACACTTCATACTGGCTATATTTAAAATATTTATTGAATATCATATCTTATAGGCTCATCAATGTGTCCATGAAAGAAAGTCACGACTAATCCTTATAGTTTATGTGCCTTGTAGCTGCTGCTATTGATATCAGGGATGGAAATAACTTTAAAATTGATAGTGTACTCCGGTATAGTGGCCCATGTAAAGTCACTTGCCCTGATATTTTTTCCAGTATACCGACCGTTTTCTTGCTGATTTTTTAAATAAACAACATAATTAACATTGGAAGTCAACTGGACACCGGTACAGTGTGATATACAAATTTGCTTGCCCGACAGAAAAAAACACTGGACTCGGACATCGGGCAATGGGTTATTTCCACCCCTGGATATGATGATCAGGAACCTGTGCTCTGTTTGCATATTGCTGTTTACTTTTACTCAAGCCATTAGACTATGAAGTGACTCCATGTGCAAGCTAAGTTGTAAACATCTGTGCATGTTTTTTGGCAAAGTTTCACTAGTGAAACTTGCAAGATTACAAAAGAATGTTGCTACTAACATCCTTTATTAACCAAGACATGAAACATGGAAAACAATGACAAAATTTCAACTGTTCAACTGTTTGGATACTTTCCTCAATGGCATATTCCATGAGTGCTGTCCACATTACCGGTACCTAGAAGCTAGTGATGGTTATTTGGAAGTAGACAAGTTAGAACTATTTCCGGACCAATACAACCCAGAGAAACGACCACTAACACAAAACAACACTTCCTGGTTGCATTTCCTATTCTTCCTCATGGTAGAGAGATGACAACTGAAGCTAACTCCTTTGTAACCAATCTATAATCTTTCGCGATAAGACTGACTGACTTACTGACTGATTTTAGTTTTACGCCGCTTTTAGCAATATTCCAGCAATATCACGGCGGGGGACACCAGAAATGGGCTTAACACATTGTGCCGATGTGGGAAATTGAACCCGGGTCTTCGGCATGACGAGCCAACGCTTTAACCACTAGGCTACCCCACCGCCCCTTTGTGATAAGAAAAGTTGATAAGCAAATGATGGAATTCTACCCCAACAGCCTTGTTGTTTTCTGACTAGTTTTCAAACTTACAAAGTACAGCTGCTCTAACCCCTTTCATGATGCATTTGAGACTGGTAGTCAGAAAATTTGGTGACTCAGTAATTTCAAATATTCTGTGCACTATAACTTGCTAACTGCCCAGACAATCACTGTTTAATCTCCAACACTGAGATATTGTATTCTACAATGGGAATTGAATCTTGCCCATCTATATTATGAGTGAACATTTTAATCACTGGGCTACCCCACCACCCCTAATCATGTTAATGCAAATCAGAACTTACGCCACGGATAAAGATATTCCTAAACAACTTACAAGAACGTCTTGTCCTGGGATCTGGAATGTGCCTCTCCACTAGAGCTAGAGTCCATCTGTTCTTCAGTTCATCCACAGTTCTCCGAGGGCCCCTGTTCACCTTGTTCACGCAGTTGGTGATCTCTACCCACACCTCAGTCAGTTCAATATCACGAGTAGGGTCATTCTTTCTGACGTCTTCAAAATACTCCTTATATTTCAGGATTTGTTCCACAAACACTGTTGCTTCCTCACCAGACAGTACGTCTGCTCCTAAACAGTTTTGGCTGAATGTTGTTTGAGCTTTCTGCTGCAGTTCTTCCACTGTCCTTTGAAGTCCCTCATTGCCCTCATTGACACACTCTGTGATTTTCGTCCACACCTCCTTAAGTTTGGCATCATGAGCTGGACTGCTACGCTTGATGGTTTGAAATACATCTCTGTATTTTGTGATTTGTTCTGCAAAGATTCTTGCCTCCGTCTCAGAAAAATCCCTGGGTTGGTTGGGAAGGATTGGATTCAGATCCTGAAGCACAGACGTTAGAGTGATGGAGTTATTGACAGGATTCCTCCAATACATTTTATTGACAACCAATAACAATACATACTTTTCACACACCTGTATATACCCGTGAAGGTCCGGGTTAGAATATTGATCTTCAGTAACCTATGCTTGTCGTAAGAGGCGACTAACAGGATCGCTGACTTGGTTGACAAATGTCATCCGTTCCCAATTGCGCAAATCGATGCTCATGTTGTTGATCACGGGACTCTCTGGTCCAGGCTCGATTATTTACAGACCACTGCCATATAGCTGGAATATTGCTGAGTGGCGTAAAACTAAACTCACTCATTCACTCACTCACACACCTGTATATGTTCTTTTCAACTTCTTGCTGGTAAACAAAGAATGGAGACTGACATTTTATTTGTTCTCTTGCTATCTTCACAACCTCACAGACTAGAATGGTTTAATGTCTCTTTTACAGTGCTGTACCATGCCGCAGATTAACACAGATACCCAAATCAGACAGAGAATACTGACTTTTTGGAGCCAATCTTTCCACATTTTACCACCTTAATGTGGAAAACCAGGCAGGCTACCAACAAGTACCATTTCTTATATTTTGGTATGAAACACCCAGGGATTGAACCACAGACCTATGGATATCCACTAGACCATGCAGGAGCTCCTCAAGTTAAGAATTAGTTATATAGCATCTTCAAACCAATGTACTCTAAACATATTCGTAAATAGTTTAAGTAACTTGCAAAAACACTTCTTTTTTTATAAGTGAAAAACCACTTAGCATGCTAAAAGCCTCTTCATTTTAAATTTCTTGGTTTGCAGTTATCGAAATAGAAATGATTTTTTCAAAGAAGTCTTTGTAAATATGAATGATTAACAACAAAATCAATAAAGGGAAAATTATCCATTCTTTCTTGGTACTGACATTAACTCAAGGGTACCTTATCTTTCTGCATTGACATGTTTTGACAATTTGTTGAAAACAGTTTTAATTTTCAAACAAATTTGTGACCTCTGAGGTTATCAAAAATAATTCAGGATCATATGAGAAAGGAAGTAACTCCTTATTGACTCCTTTGTTTACAATTACCTGAAGTTGGAAAGTTCAACAATAAACATAAACATACAAAAGAAGATTTTGGTGAACACCACTAACTTTACCTTTTCTTTGTCTTTTTCAGGCTGTTTTCCTTCAAACATCCAAGAAAAATATCTCTTTCTCAATAGTGCTTCCTTGAAGATGCTGAGATTTGAAGGTTCAGCTTCTTCCTCCTCTGACTCCGCTGAACTATGCTGTGTACTGCCACGCTTTCCACCCTTAGCAGACTTTCCGCCAGATGCATCCTTCTTGGCGCCATGCTTTCTCTGCAATTGCAAAATCTCTATTGCTAAACATGCTGATGTCAGGACATGATTTGCCATGATAGTGTAGCCATAAAACCTAGCCAAACCTGTAGAGGTTTTCAATTCTTCTTTGGGGTATATATATGCATTTTCTGCGACTGAAAATGTCCTGTGACAGTTGTAACAATGTTTCAATAAAAATATTGTACAAAATAAAAAAGTCTATTTTATTTGTTATGCGGCCCCCAAGGAATATTCTCTTCTAATTCTTGGGGTACATATCTGCATAAATTCCCTAAAGATCGAAGTCTCGGGAGGAGGGATATTCTGTTAGCATACAGCAAAACCAAAATAGCGAAAAACGCAGCCGAACTAGTGTTGGCTCACCATTACACTTACCTGGTCACGTGGCTCGAAGGGAGGCATGCCAGTAGGTTTCGTACAGGGTGGTAAGGTTATACGATTGCAGTGTTGAGAGCCTTCATTGGAAATGTCAATAATTCCCATTTACCACAGAACCAATGCCAATGACAAGACTCACTTGGTCAGGGTGGCAGGACACTGCCCACTGGAGAGAACCAAGTGACCAAACTGAGCACGATACTTAGAATGCAAGGTAGCGAATAAAGGTGCTCAGCCAGCTCCAAATAGCAGCAAAACAGATCTCTTTAATCATGTTAATGGGCAGTGCCGTAGAGAAAGCCTTCAAAGTTGCAACTGCCCACACCGAATGAGCCTTCAACCCCTCAGGGGGAAGCTTACCTTTAGCAGTGTAAGCCGCACAAATAACAGACACAAGCCAACGTGAAATAGTTTGTTTTACTGGCAGGAATCCCAGCCTTCCTGCCACCATAACAGCAAAACAATTGGGTACCCATACAGATTCTCTTCGTTCATTTGATATAGACTTTGAGGGTCTTGCGGACATCCAACGGGTGAGCACACGTCGGAGCGAGAATAGGAAGTTTGATAGCTGTTACATGGAAAGAATAATTAATCTTAGGGCAGTAACTATCCGGGAGGCGAATACTGACACGATCAGCATGAAACACCATCAGCACCAGGTCGATGGACATCGCATGAATATCCCCGACCCTTCTACCGGAGGTCACTGCCACAAGAAAAGCTGTTTTCCATGTCAACAACTGAATGGAAAGAGCAGGACCAGACAGCCAATCGTTCTCGACATATCCTAAGGTGGGCTGGTTCGCCTAAGAGCAGGTCGAACCTGATCCACGCCAGCTAAGAAGCGCTGTACAAGAGGGTGCTGCCCCAGAAGAGCACCATCAACAGGGGTGTGAAACATGGATACAGCCGTGTAGTATCCAGGAATGGTTGAGGCTGCCAAACCCTCTTCCAAATGGGACTGAATGAATTCCAAAACCCGAAATAAATCTGCAGAAAAGGGATCTGCAATCCCCAATTCAGCGTGCATACCTATCCTCATACTGAACGTTTGTCAATCCCTACTCGAAGCCAGAATTGTGTCTGCAACTGCTGCAGGAATTCCACGTGCCTAGAGGTTAGACATGACAGAGGCCAAGCCACCCATTGAATCCGAGGATTCGGGTGCGCCACCCCGTTTTGAGTGAGAATGTCCAGCTATAAAGGTAATAGACTAGGAGGCAAAGCCAGAAACCTGAGAATCACCGGAAACCAGCTCTGTGACGGCCAAAGAGATGGCAGCAGCACAAGTAGCCGAGCCGGCTGGGTGGACAGCTGTGAGATTACCCTGAGAATCAGCGGTAGAGGTGGGAATGCCCACAATACCCTGTCCGTCCAATCCAGCACGAAGGTGTCAGAAGCCAACGCCCTCTGGTCCTGTATCTGAGAGCAGAACACTGGTATCTGATTCGTCCCACCAGACACGAACAGATACACCTGGAACGGCCCCTACAACTGGGAAATAACGCCAAGCATCCACTCGTGCATCTGCTCACACATTATCAAACCCAGGGAGATATACCGGAATCACCTGACAGTCGCACCACAGTATGAACCCCCATACGTCTCACGAAGGAGCACTGGAGACACCGTGCCACCTTGCTTCAGGACATACTTCATAGCCATGCGGTTGTCTATCTGAAGAGGCACCACCTGGCCCCGGACATGTTCCCTGAAGCTCTTGATTACCAACCCGAATGCTCTCAGTTCTAACACATCAATGTGAAGTAGGGCTTCAGACTCGGACCAGTGTCCGGACACAGACTGCCCAGAACACCCCCGCAGCTGGTGAGGGATGCATCTGTTTGAACTGAGAGACCCAACGCCGCGAGTACCAAGGGGATCCCCCTGGAGAGATTCCCAGCCTATCCTCCACCGAAGGTGAGGACACAACCACTCAGGAACTACGGGAGACTTCTCGAGATCCTCTGAGTGAGCCCACAGACTCGCGAAAGCTTGCTGTATAGGGCGCACCATCTTGACGGTCGTCGTCATATGACCCAACAGACGGAGCCATATCCATGCTGGAGCCTGGGGACGTGAGGGAAACCAGACCCTTGTGTGTGGTGAATCTCACCCCTAAGAAATACAAATCCCGGGTGGGTACCGGATTCCTTGAGGTTCACGATCCACCCCAGCCGTACTAGAATGTCTAGCACCACATGCGTTGAGTCTAGACTCGCTGGTTGAGTTAGTGCTCGCAGCAAACAGTTGTCCAGGTAAGGGTAACAACACCTTCCTTTCGACCTTGCTGTTTGTGCCTGCACCAACATGAGTTTGGTGAACACCCTTGGAGCAGTGAATATGCTGAAGGGGAACACCCCAAACAGATAACAAATCCTGTCGTAAGAGAACCAAAGGTAACTCTTGAACAAGGGGTGTATCGGTACATGAAGATACTCATACTTGAGGTCGATTGACGTGAGCCAATCGCCGGGCTGAACCAAGGAGATCACCGAGTGAAGAGTTTCCATCTTGAAGGATGGAACCTCTATCATGAGATTTTTATCCCCTTGAGGTTGAGTACGGGACGGAAGCATCCGTCCTTCTTGGGTACGAGGAAGTACGTGGAGTACAAGCCCATGTGTTCCTCGCCCAAGGGAATACGCTCTATGGCGGACTTGTCTACCAGAGCCTGGATTTTGTCCTTCAGAATCCGCACCTTGTCCAGTCAGGATGGCACCCGGAGTGTGCCTGATGCCGGAAATATCTGGCGGGCCTTGCTTCTACTTTGGTATGTGACCGATACGGATAGTGGAAAGCAAGGATTGGTCGTTGGCCCCTCCACTCTGTAAAGAACAGAGAGACGCAACAACCCACAAGGACATCAGGTAGAAGTGCTCGGGTCTCCTCGTGTCACACACGGGGCAGAGATGAACCCCTCTCTGCAGTACCGTGACGTCGACAGTCACAGCTTGCGCATGCCCATCACTGCGCACAGACGTGGCGGACCTCAAGGAGTCACAGGTCAGGTGGGCCTGCACTTCAGTCAACTGCCAGAGAAGAACCACACTGGGTGAAAGGTCACCAGGGTTCCCGTTTTGAAAATGCTCCTCGAAGCTATGATATGCTGCACACAGACAGAGACTGAAGGTGCGAGTTGGGGGTGAGCATGAGAGGGGGCTCAGGCTCCTTCTGACGGTGGGGGTCTGGGGGGGCCTCCCCCTATGAAAATCTTTAGATTTAGCCTGGAAATATGCAATTTCTGGGCATACTTAACCAGGTAATACTTAACTCAAATGAACATATTCAAATGGCTATTTACTAAAATTCTTTCAAACATTTTAAATTTTTAAACATATTTGTATTTTCTAAGAAATTATATTTTTTTGATAGAAACCCTCAATTTGTGAGGTGTTGGAGCACTATATTCATATCCCCAGATAGACAAATCGGAGAGTGGATTTTGTGTTTGAAAATCGGAGTGGTTGGCATTTCTGCACAGAGGGGCCCCCCGCATGGGAAAAAGGTGGAATCAGTCTACCCTCCTTAGCTGACGGAGCAGCCGACGAGAAGGTCGAACCCTCCCTCTCAGCTGAAGCCAAAGCTACCAGACCCTACGCCAAGGGCGGTGACAAAGTCAAATCGACAGTTGCCTCCAGGCCCTGGGATCTTGCTGAGGACAGCGATCCCGCATACAATCTTCTATGACATCCTTACCATGTCAGCTTGCTGACAGGGTTAACCTCTTTGATCAGGTGGACAAGGTGTTCAACTCCATTACTCTTGACGGAGACCATCAAAGGACTCATGAAGGAGAGACGTCATCAAGGCCATATGCAACTGAAAGAATTGGTGTATTACCGACATATCAAAAGAAGGCTGTTGACTAGCGACCGTAGGAGTAGGAGTAGGAGCCTTAATAGCCCATCCCTAAGATCCTTGAAGAACAGAAAGTCTTCTGCGCGCCTTAGGGGAAAAGTCAAGGCACAACTCGCTAATTTGCATTTTGTAAGCATGACACTAAAATTAATACACCCTTCATGTAAAATCATTGAAAATATGTGACCAAAACGCATAACTGAAACAATTGAACCGAACCAGACGCAAAATTCCCACCATGGAATAGTATTGATGTAGGCCACGTCAAAATATGTGTAAAATACAACTATTAAGTCACAGTTCTTAAGAAATGAATAACTGCCACATCTTTATAACATTCCATAACAGAATATAGGACAACGTACATACAGCATTCGAAGTCTCAGACATTGTAAACAGCTCAGTCTTTTCGCACACTACAGTGTAGCGTGACAGCAGAAGGAATGATGATTTGGGGTAGGGATGTGCCTGGCTGCCCTCACATGCGCAGTAAGGGAGTTAATCCCATGTGGTGGGGGGCCGTATAACAAATAAAAAAGACTTTTTTATTTTGTACAATAGTTTTATTAAAACGTTGTTACAACTGTCACAAGACATTTTCAGTCGCAGAAAATGCATATATGTATCCCAAGGAAGATCTATCCTGAAAAGGAATACCAAGTCCTATGATCGAACCACTGATCTTCTGATCCGAAGTTGAAAACCTTGTCCACATGACCAAAGAGGTTAACCCTGTCAGCAAGCTGACATGGTAAGGATGTCATAAGTAGTATGACTACACGCCCTGCTACAATACAATATGCCCTTCAATAAACTTTAAAGCTGTTACAGGTATTTTTTGCCACTTGAAGGACCTCAAGGATAAATATTCAAGTGAGCACCTGTTTAACAGATTTGAGTGTCCTTGATGCTTTGTTGTGAGTTTGTGTCACTGCTATTACAATACATTACCAATACATCAGCTAAGACTAGTGTTGGGAATTGGTTAAAATCTCATAATTGATGATTGGTCCATTACATCCGATCCATCATCGAAAATAATTGGTTAGGGTCATTTATCCTGTTGTCTTTGTAAAAAATAATAATAAAAACATGTAGTACTTTTGGTGTTTTGCAAATTAAACAAAATCCATTTGCAAATTTTGCATATTTAAAGGATTATTAGTATGTTAGGAACACAAATTTCCTGGATTCTTTAAGATAAATTCAATCATGACTTGGACCGAGCTTGTTGTGCTTATGATATGTAAATTTAATGACACAGACAAAAGCTACCTTGTGAAAAATATTGTTGATGCAAACAAGTGTTCCAAGATTGGTTGCGTTCGATTATGGGAAAACATGTTCGATTGCTTGGTCGTTTAGTCACTGCGACCAATCTTCGATTATTTCAATTAATCGGACCACCACTAGCTAAGACAAGTGTCGAACCTCACCTCCCATTCCTGTTAGTCGCCTCTTAACGACAAGCATGAGTTGATGACGACCAGTTCTAGCCCGGATCTTCACGAGTATGCTCAGGATTGATTTCAAACTTTCACATGAAGCTGAGTGTATACTGGGTACTTACAGCTTGAGGGCCATAGTCGTCAAGGACACCATCTAGATCAAACTCCTGTCCATTGTGAAAGAACCTCTCCTGGACAAATCCTCTGCCTCTGACACTGTCCATGTTTGGGGTGACACGTCTGTACTTGTGGGAAGACTCCTGGAAGGAAACATTACATCCAAATTGATCATACTATCACCAATAACAACAGGTCAACAACTGTTAGTCTGAGACTAATAGATGTCTCAAGCACAAGTAAAGATCCACCAATGGCAGTCTCATACTATATGATTTCAGGGCTGTGATTCTGGACCAGTTCTCAAACTTCAGTTTTGTGACAATTTACTCGCTACAACTGACTGACTGACTGAGTTTGGCTTTACGCCGCTTTTAGCAATATTCCAGCAATATCACGATGGGGGACACCAGAAATGGGCTTCACACACTGTGCCCATGTGGGGATTCGAACACGGGTCTTCTGCATGACGAGCCAACGCTTTAACCATTAGGCTACCCCCTACTCGCTACAAACTCAGAAGAAGCAAAATACAGTTTCCACTAGTTTTCTGAAGTAAGAAAAACTTCAGTGACAGGTGATGACACACACATGATAAAACCTCTACACAATATGAAACCATCAACATGATCAAGGCTGTTTATACACCAAAACTATCCCTGGTTGCAACACCTTCAATACAGTCCTGGTGGACCTTTCTTCATATCTATGAGGGGTGGTGGGGTAGCCTAGTGGTTGAAGTGTTCACTCGAAGTCCTGTGTTTGATTCCAAACATGAGTACAATGTGTGAAGCATATTCCTCATGTCCCCCATCGTGACATTGCTGGAATAATGCAGAAAACTAAACACACTCACTCATCATATCTGTGCAAACTTGACAAATTAAAGAATGTTATGTCACAGTCCAACATGCCCCGAACCCCGTTCTTCTGTGACACAGGAGAAACTCAATATAAGCTGGAATAGTCTTACAGCTTTCAGAGGCAGTATTAGTAAATGAAAGCATTTTTTTTTAAATTCAACTTGTTTATATCACAATCTTTTAGATATCTTTCAACAGTCAATAACACTTCAACATCTTTAAAATATCACAGTTCAAATATTTCAAGTCTCAATTTCAGCAGTGCGGAGTTCACAGCTGGAATATCCCAAATCTATTTTTAGCCACGGGAGGTGCTTGGATTGTTAAATCAACCTCTCGCGACGAGGCGAGGTTGACATCAATTAGCGTCACAGCTGTCATGTGATCAAATGGGCCAATCAGAAGGGCGGAAATCTACCCGTCATATAATAAAGAAGAAAGACTTGATAAATCCTCAAAAATAGTACATATCCAGCTGAATTGCTTCCACTAATATCTGTCAAATTCATTATCATGAGTATTATCAGATCTTTCTGACATTCAAACATTCATAATTTCTATGTGAGTTATCATATTCTCGAAATAAAAATATTGGCTACCAGGAAAAATTAACATGATGAAACCCAATCAGTTAAGAAAGCATCCAGTTGGCTCAAGAACCCACACATCCCTCATGCTGAAGGGGCAAATCAATCTTAGCAGTGTTCATCTGAAGCTAAATCCTTTCCTATCAGAGTTAAGGATTTCATTTTAAACATGTAAAAAAATTGTGTCAAACGCTAAAAAAAAATATGTGTGGAAACTATAATGGTATCAGACCACTCTCACTGCAATATGCAAAGACAATAATTATGAAACAAACAACAGGCTGTTTGACCAGCCTCTCCACCATGTAGGGACTCACCCCTGTTGGTTCATCATCGGTATCCTCACGTTCTCTCTTGACCTCAACAGGAAGACGCATGGAGACTTCTCTGCTCTTGTCATTGTCATCTTCCTGCTCTCCCTGATCTTTATTAGTGTCAGAGGACCTCCTTATCACAACCGGTAGCGTCATGTCATCATCATTGCTGCTGTCATCATCCTTAGCATCATCATTATCATCATAGTCATCATCATCCTGGTCTGCAGTGGCCTCTTCCATGGAATCATCCGACTCAGTTTTGATCTCCCCAGGGTCAAGAATTTCTCCATCATCATCCTTCTCAACATCATCATCATTATCGTCATCATCTTCACTTTCCTCTGATTCAGTTCTAGTCTCTGCAGGAAGACATGGGGTTTCCCGGTTGCTATCAGTTGGATCCTGGGGCTCATTTTTCACAACAACATAGTCATCTATTTCTCCCTCATCCTCTGAAGATGATCTCTGACTGCTGTCGTACTGAAAGTTGAGGCCCGATGTGGCTTCCAAACTCTGCAAAGTAACAATTATTGTTCAGTTGATCAGCGAGTCATGCCTGTAGGAATGCCTTTAAGTTTAACACATGGGGCTTGTTAGCACTAAAAACTGGCATCAATCAAGGTATACACTGTCACTGACAGGGTCTTAACACTCTATAAATCATTCTTAACGTTACAACCTGTCGTAACTTTATAGTATATCATTGGATAACGAATAATGTAGTGCTATGAACGCATTGTGGACAGGGTGCCTGGTTACCACTGTTTACAAACTCATATTGTTGGAAAATATTATTTTGGCAAATGAATACAATCTCTCCCCCACCCTCTAGTCATGTCTTTGATATCATATGAGTTTCTATATACTGTCTCTACTGACAAAGTCGTCTTCTGTTGTTTGTTCAAGCGAAGTGATACGATGTTGTTTTTTTACCCCTGGAAAAAAGTTTGACGAAAGTGTAACTCATGGATAAGACGACCCCCTTCTACAGACGGCTTTTTTTGGTCCTCAAAATTCGGCTTATAGACGGTCATATACGGTATTTCATATCAACACTCAGGTGAGTCTTGCCAAAAGATTCATTTATGTTTCAAGTATAAAACAACAATTTACAAACACTTTCCCTTGAGGGATTTCTTAAGTTATTAAAAGATATATATACCACTGAAAAATATATAGCTAGGAAAAACAATAGCTTAGATCCCTTTATAAGGAAATGGAAACATTTATATACCTTACTATGTGCTAAACATTAAATTCTACTTATAATATCAGCTGAGACCTCCAGACCCTACTCACTACAACCATAATATTCAACCTTACCCCTCCAATTTCATATTCCCTCCACAGAAACTTTAATGACATCTTATGTATCTATATAATTGTTGTAATCTCATGATGTTATATTTATATATATATGTATACATGCGTGTATGTATGTGCGTGTGTGTATATGTTTGCAATACTGTCTTTTATGTCATATAGAACCTTGCAAAACATCACTGAAGCTATATACATATACATTTGTATATTTGGATGTTGTCCTCTTTGCCATATGTATTTTATGTGAGACTTGAAATGGAATAAAAAAAAAAAAAAATTAAAAAAACCACTCAGGTGAGGTTTTCACTAGAGTTGTTTTGAACAGTGATGTTCAGCATGGGCTTGTAACGTTAAAAACTGGCACCAAGGTATATACTGTCATTGACAGGGTCTTAACACTATATAAAAAGTGTTCTTTGTGGATCGGGACTAATATCTTTAGTGTAAAAGTGGAAAAGACCAGCTAAAGCCTTGGCAACCAATGCCATCACAATGGTCTCCAAAGAACTCTCCTGCAGAAGCCTACTTTGAATGACAAATATACTTGATGAATATTGGACTCAAGATACTTATCAACTTACCATTCTTAACAGGCAAAGAAACTTCTAGATACAGAAAGCATCCAGTATGCCCAGTATTAATATCTCTGTACAAATGTAAACTAAACATTTAAGCTGATCCTTGTATTGTTAAATTGAACTAGGGAAATAATCTTGACATCTCCTAATGAATACTGATAATGAATATAAAAAAATGATAAATTTAAACAATGACAGCTACTTAACAAGGGTTGCTGATAGCAGTAAATACTGATAGCTGAAAACTCTTAAACAGAATCTGCCAATCCCTTAATCTAGCAATATCTGGGATGTTTACATAGTAAGCTGTGCCTTTTGTTGATTACAAGAGCAAATCTCCAAAGGTCAAAATTCCAAATGCAACAAAACATTGAACATATGCATGATATGTGTTCATTCCTGCAAAAAACCCTTTTCCACTGATCAGTTGCTTATTCTCCCACGCAGAGTTCTCACCTCTGTCTCCTCTGGAGTGAAGGTGGTGTTAGCCTTGTGCTTGGTGAGGATATCAGACTCCAGGGTCATCACCATGTACTGTGTGGGTTCAACAATATCATTGTTCTTCTCTTTTGGCTCCATGGCACGTCGGCTACCACACTGCAAAAAAACAGTGATATTTTCATGTGTTGTACAAGGGTCTTAAGTGACACATAAGAACTAAACACTGTCAAAATTGTCCAGAATGTGAAATTACAATGTATCGTACTTTAAATTCTAAAATGTAGATAATCTCTGGAGCCATATACAGAATATGTTTCCAAACAATTATGTAACCATGGTTTCAAGGGCAAAAGATTGGTGATAACCCATCCTTACCCTGACATAACTAACCCTGTGGAGTTATACAAAAGCACTTTTCTTATATTTATTTATTGGGTGGCGAGCGGATTCTAAAAATAAAATCGTACCAAACAATATATGTGACATCATCACTTAAACCGTATTCAAACAAACACCACAGACTGGACAATGCAAGAAAACGTATATGTGTGTAAACTGACAACATGAAGGCTGGTCTGAGCAAAGGAATCTGGAAATCTTAGACTTTCTTTCGGTCTTTGACACATTCAATAAGTGTTCTCTAAATCTGTCTCAGTAAAACCTGAACACAGGAAAATGATATTCACCAAAACTGCAATACAATAAATTCCGCGGATTTCTATGACTGACTTCAATATATCGTTTGGTAGCAGAACCCTCGTTTTCTCTCGATACTTGTTAATATCTGACAGAACAATGATCCCTGACACTCACAGCAGACGGACCGGAAAATCTACCATTAATCACAATACATGAAGATGCAGAACGTGCATAATGTTGCTCTTAAATTAATTCAAACCTGACACTTGTTAAATCTCCATTTGCGCTTATGCATATATGAAACAAAAGCATAAATTAGAAGAAAAATCGTACCCTACTCAATCATCGAATCTTCGCTTCGTCGAATCAAGTACCTCTGCTTCCGGTTTTGTAGGCACGCACAGAATATGTGTGAGCGGTTCACTAGTTAATTAAAGGGAACTTCAGCACTTTATATTTGGTATTCAATAATTATAAGCATAGGTGTGTAACCATTGACTATTGGGAATGACACAGGAGATGAATATGGATACAGTTCGACTCCAGGAAGCTGTAAATCAACGTTTGACATCTCTAGCTAGTTCTCGGATCACACTGCGCTGTGACGTAGTGCTCTAGTAGCATGTGTAGAGCCGAAACCCAGCCTCATGACACTCGCTTGACCCCTAAAGCATCCTGACAGACGCGAAAGTGCGTTCATGTATGAGCGGAAATTAGTATAACATAAATGGCATCTGTTCTCATTTACCTGGTGAATTTCCATTGCTTACCTGCCTAACATAATGATATGGACCTAGATAGGAATTCGTGCCAAGAACGCTTACATATTTATGAGTTTATTGTTGCGATCATCCCAGTCATGACTGAACTACAAAAATAACTATGTCATGTATTTTCACTTTAGGACTTGAGGTGTAGGTCTGTAAACCTGTGCATTCATTAGCCTTCGGTATACATGTTTTGTCTGATTTTACATGATGTATGTTTTATATACATGCAATGATATGCAGATTGATTTTCTCCATAATAAATTCAGTTTAAAGAAAAGAAAACGGTTTATCTTTGTTTTAATGAACAAAGCGTATTATTTGTTCAATTTAATTTTGCATATTTATAACCTAACCCGTGTTAGAACTTAGAATAGGTCTAGTGCACTAGTACTATGTGACTTGTAATGATGAGGATGATGTGGATAGTTCATGTTTTCTCTCTGATTAATGGTTACTTTCTAGTTAAGACAGTATACACTTAAAATTTAAATTTGACCCCAAAAAATCCAAACAGACTTAATAAGTCTCAAACATTTTACATGACTTAAATTCAACTGTACCCTTTATCAGTCATGTGAAAAGGGAAATAATTAATTATTATGACATTTCAAAATATGCTTATTCCTCTTCTTGTGGTGTTGACAAAGGCTTCTCCTTTTGGTCATCTCTACGTGCACTCTCCAAGCACTATAAGGAGAAAGAATGAATAATTTTGGCTATGTTATCCTTATTTCATATGGATACAACGCATACCCCAAACCTCCCCCCTCCACACACATATATACATACATACACACACACACACACACACATATACATACATACATACATACATACATACATACATACATACATACATACATACATACATACATACATACATACATACATACATACATACATACATACATACATACATACCTTGTATATCAGCACAACTGTACCTATCAACGTCACACACTGACTACTAACCATGCGCGGATCCAGAGGGGGGGTGCGCACCCCCACACCCCCAAGAGTGTTCCAAATGTACTACATGTTTTATGCCCAGGGTTCCGAGGATTGGGGTGCACCCCCCCACACACACACACCACCACCACCACCCCAAACGAAAATCCTGTATCCGCCCCTGCTAACGTATGTATTGTAGCCATAAATAAGTGAAGTTATGGTGCCATCTGATGGCATTTGCAGACTGTTTCTATAGAAACATCATTGATTGTTTTGTATACCTTGTATATCAGCACCATTCAACGTCACACATTGACTACATGTACTGTACCTATACATGCGTTAAAAAATGGTAAATAAAAAAAATAAACAATTAACATGACTGACAAATTGTCGACCTAGTCTGTGGTATGGCATGAAATCTTGCCCAGGAAGATCCGGGTCGGAATTAGTCTTCAGTAACCCATGCTTGTCGCAAGAGGCGACTAACGGGGTCGGATGGTCAGGCTTGCTGACTTGGTTGGCACATGTCATCATATCAAGTAAATTTCATACTCTCAAACAATGCATAAGACAAACATTCTATTACATGTATATGAACTACACCACCCTTGGATTATCAAACGTATACCCCATTCGAACCATAAAATGATGCGTAAAATATTTGAATTAGAGAATAATAATTTTCCTTTTGCTGTTTTGAAGAAAGGGTTAACGACATGTATATAATGAATAATCCGCAGTGTCAAGAAGAAGCCAAGGCTGCTTGGTTCTATATTTTTATTATAATTTTTACTTATACCATCTCTTCTGTTTATCCTTGGCTCGCAAAGTATTCAGAACATTTTGAATACCGATATATATCATCAGTCTTACAAAGTTTATTTTTCTTACACACACACGCACGCACTCACTCACGCACGCACGCAAACACACATATTCTGGTATCATCGCCTATGACGACGCGATTCGATGTGCGGATTGGGCATTTTTCAGTAAGTTCTTATAACAGTGACTTTTCTGAAAACTCGAATTGGCTGTTCGAAATGAAAACGTAAACAAACACTTTCAATATTTCTTTATTTTGCATATTGTTAACCATATAATCGGTGGGCTAGGAAACATTTATATTGGATGTAATGAGTGTGTGAATGACGTTAGTGTCAATGACGCCGCACTCAGCAATATTCCAGCTGTATGGCGGCGGTCTCTAAATAATCATGGATGGACCAGACAGTCCAGTGATCAACAGCATGTGCATCGATTTACACAACTGGGATACGATGACATGTGTCAACCAAGTCAGCGAGCCTGACCACCCGATCCCGTAAGTCGCCTCTTGCGACAAGATTGGGTTACTGAAGACCAATTCTAACCCGGATCTTCGTGGGCAAGATTTCAGGTCATGCCAAAGACTAGGTCGACAATATGTTAGTCATGTAACATGTTTGAAACTTATTAAGGCTGTGACACTAACGAAGCGTCAAGCGTGGGTTACTGAAGATCAATTATAACCCGGATCTTCACGGGCCATATTGGATACAACAAAATATATACTATGCATCACGCTCTGGACTTTACAACGTTGCCACTGTAAGTGTATAGAACAGTTCAATCCTTGTGGCCATATGCAACAAGCAAAGAACTATTTCCAGTCGACTCATCAACGGTCATTTTCGTACTGGTAGTCAGGATAATCGCTATAATAACGAAACTGTGTGAATGGGTATAATTCACAACCATTCAGCAATTTACCAAAAACATCACGGAATCGGACGCCAGAAATGTATGGATCGAACCTGTGTCCTCTGCAGCGTCACGAGCTAACGTTTTAACCACCAGCCTACCCCACCGCCTTAAACATTAACGAAACATCACGTAACTAAAACTAACAACTGAATTAACACACCACAACACCTCTTTTCACAATTTTCATATTTATTTTTAGTTTTTCAAAATGTCAGCACGTGCTTGTAGTGCTGCATATTATCTACAGCACAGAGTTGCATTCATTCCAAAGACTATCTCTTCTGATCTTATCGTATGTATGATTTTTTATGCTAATTTTCTTAGGTAAGATAATTATATTATATCCAAAAAAATTAGCACTTAAAGTACACCGACGTGGTTTTATTCTTAAAAAATATAACCTAACTTAATCTAATCTAAAGAAAAGATTATTCACACAATGCACAACTGATGGATATCGAAGACATCGTTTAAATTTGATAAGTTGGCTTTTGGAGCACAAACTCACATGTACATTGTCAGGTGATAAAACGGACACACTTTATCAACAGTTGTGTCAATTTTCGGTTATATAATAATTAAAATCTCTACGTTCATAGTTCTCTTTTTTATTCATAATCATCATAATGTTATTGCTGCATTAAATGACAAGGAGCTTTACAACTTCCGCTAAGCTATCCACACTATTATACCTTCAGTCTATTATAATGATCATTATGATGAATACCTAGAAATACAGTTTTTATCAATTAAAACCCATGTGAGAAATTCGCAATTAACAAAACCCAAACATATCCCAGAAAGGGACGTTAATACATGCTGTAGCCATCTGGCAAATCAGTGTGACAAGTCAACGCTCTAACCGCGCTAGACAACCCACTACCACTGGCTTCGTCGGTTGAGATTACCTATATAAACAAATGTCAAATCTAGTCAAAGGTGTTGTATATTTCAAGCAGGTGTTGATCAGAATTGTCACTTGGTGTCATGGTTACGAGTTTAACCAATCAGAACACACTTCCGCTGCATGAGTTTTACATGCGCGTAATCCAGACTTCATAGATGGAAGCAGACGTGACTAAATTTATCAAAAGCACCGATGCATGTCAAACTAGTTCGAACATCTCGTTAAGAATCCATTCAAAATCGAGATTACAGTCTACTTAGACCCGGTTGTCACTACCGTGAACGCTGCATTTTAATGTTTATGCTTTGTGAAGAATATTGACGAAGAAATGTGTTTCAACGCGATTTCCTGCCCTGCAGTGTTTTGCTGTTCTTGGGAGGACGTTGAACAAAGCGACAAGGTAAGTGCAGAAATATATAATTAAACAATCCATGGGGGAACCGTTATTTTTATAAATATATATTCATCACTTCTCCACCTACATTTAGTTGAAAGTGCGTGAATAAGTTGAGGGTTTAATTGAGCGTTAGTTGTGACAATTTACTGATGTCGATATTTATCTTTATGTTATAGTCGATACAAAACAGTTTATTTGCACACCACGCTTGGGACAAAATGTTATTTGCATATTGCTGATTAGGAGTGAGCATTATTTTAAGCCGCCTTTGCAATTTCAAAACGGGACAAACGTTACACACTGTATACATGTGAACAATCGACCCGTGTGTTCGCGACCAGCGAAGGCTTTAAAGCATTGTAATATAGTTGTGCAATTTGTTTAACTGAAAAAAAACACCCCAAAGACATGAGGTATAAGCCAAGTCATGGAGTCGTATGTAGAATAACTTACACCGTTGCTTTCACCATTCAGCAAAAGCATTGTCCAGGCTTGTGACAATGACGAACTTTCTGTTATAGTCTGTAATCTACATGTATGTCCCAGAGATAAGTTGAAAAAGGAATGTAACTTTGGAATACGTTTACAAGCGCCCTTTGCATCTGTTCCATCCTTGTCTTATTTGTTTATTTGTTGTTTAACCTCTTCAGGCTTCATTTTGAAGTCGAATATAATTCGGAATAGATCACGCAAACAACCAAACATCACTTGAATTCTGAAACCGCTTGTCACTTGATATGACTCTATATCATTTTAGGCAAAACAAAATTGCTGACCTCTGAGAACTAGGTACACTGC